TTGAGAGTTTTTTTGAGAAAATCTGTTTGGTTTGATTACTCTTAAAAAATTGTTTGTAGAATATATTTCCAAAAAATTTCTCCTAAAATCAAACCAAACAAGGCCCAAGTGTTTTGAGACAAATGGGGATAAATAAAGCATTTTTTTTATAACCTGGACAGAATATCCTATATCTTGTGTTGAGAAGCCACATTTCGATCTAGCCTAAGTTACTAGTTACATGTTGTATGTCTTTTTGGCAAGGACTTAAAATTGTCAGGCATTGATGTGCCATAACGTTGTGGATTAATCGTGTTTTATTTTGCGTTCTCATTCTACGAGAGTTGATTGAAGGCCTTGTGTGCGAATGGTTTCCTTATCTCATATGTTGGAGTGTTAAGCACTCAATAGTGGTTTAGGTACTGTGGTAGTTGAGACGTAGTGGATGTCTTAGAGCGCTGTTGTTGTAGGAGTTGTTGTTACTATTATTATTCAGCTTGTTTGGTTCCATTTTTCCAAAAACAGTTTTCAGAAAATTCTACTTTCTTGTGTTTTCGTATTTTTTTGTTTTTACTGATTTTTTAAAATATTTTAAGCAATTTTTTTACTTTTTAGACACACCTAATATAAATACACCTAAAAAGTAAAAAAAATTATAAAAAAAATCTTTTACAAATTCACTAAATACCAAAAATACAAAAGAAAAAAACAAGAATTCAGTATATTTTTTGTATTTTTATGTATTTATTTATTTTTTCACAATTTTTTTACTTTTTAGATACATCTAAGTAAGGTGTATCTCAAAAAGTAAAAAAATGTTTAAAATTATAAAAATAATCACTAAAAGCAAAAAAATACGAAAACCAAAAAACTCAATTTTTAAAAAATTTAATCCAAAAAACTCAAACCAAACACACTGATTGTTATCGGGGGTATTTGTTCTTGTCTAATAAACCGCCACAAGTTTTACCGATTGGAGGAGACATCCATGTTCGTTCCATGTTGTTGAGTCGAGTCTTATGAAGCAAGACGTTTTTATTAGTTAAGGTGCTGTGGAAACATCACAGAGTTGAGGAAAAACTTGGAAACGTGAGTTGGAAGTCCGTGAGAAAGTATCCGGACTTATTTGTTGATGTTTGAGCATATATTGAAATTTTGTTATGATAATGAAATATGAAAACATTGTATATGTTTGAGAATATAGAAATATTGTATATATTTTAATAATGTGGATGGTACTTTCAAACGTTGGGGCTTGTGTGTCGCGCGGATGAGAATGCTTGATCAGAGAATAAGTCATAGTAATGGAATTGATTAATTATCATTATTGTAATTAGTTTAAACTTAGTTTTAAAACTTGATTTGAAATTTCGAGGATGAAATTCCTTAAGGGGGGAGGTTATAACGATTTCGGTTTTAGCTCGATCTTTGTTGTATCCCGGACATGAGATTGATGGTTTCATATTGTTGTTTACATCTTATGTTCATTGTATCTCTTTAAGTTTGGTTTTTGGATTGTTGTGGTTGTATTTGAAATAGGTTGGTTGCTTGGTTTTCAAGCTTTTATTGTCTAGAATTTTCGTCCTCTGCTTGAGCGACACTTTTTGCTCTTGAGTAGGCTTTGTGAACTCTCAGTACTTTTGCAGGTCTGCAAAACTACTAGGAGGATGTATTCTACACTCGAGCGGCCCTTCTTGCGTTTGAGCGTTGGTCTATTGTCCACAAAACTACTGGGAGTGTGCATTCTATGCTTGAGCGTCACTTATTGTGCTCGAGCGGACTATGCGTATATCAGTTCACAACAGCACTTTTTTATATTACTTTTTCATATCCATTCCTCTCAAAACCCTAGATCTAAGAGTCTCTCTCTCTAAAACTCTATCTCTCTATCTACATTTCACCTAGATCTAGTGGTTTCTCTACTTTATTCCCTTTATTAAAAAGGGTGAGCATCTCAAGGGCTACGTTTCTATCCGAATAGAGTTGTGTTTGAGCATCTTTGAAGTTCCCTTCTTGCTTGCTTGACTTCTTGCTTCGAGATAGAGACTTTCTATACTTTTATATGACTTTTACCTTAGTTATTTGTTTTGTATAAATAATATTGTAAAATTTGGAGGATTTTGAACAAACCTAGGGTTTTTGTTTAAAGTCAAAAGAGGGGTTTACAAATGGATGTATTGAAAATGGTTATGGAAGTGAATATAAGATTGTGGTGTAATAAAATTGTTAATTTTGATACTTGTGTTGTATTTCGGAAGAAAATGGAGCTCGCCCTAAAACATCTCAAATATGTATTTTGTATAAATAAGTGAAATTGGTATTGAAAATATGAAATTGGATGGATGTTTACCTAAACGGTGGAGAAGGATATGTGTTATCACTTACTTAAGAAATTTTGAATAAATTATCTATTTTGAGATTGAATATCTGTTTAGAAATATCTATGTTGAGCTGTCGGATGAGGATAGTTATGGTTGTTGTAGAAATTGTACGAGGATTAGGTAAATTAAAACTAATTTCTCATCCATTGTCATTGAATATGACTATGTCTTTAAATACATTCATTATATATATATATATATATATGATGTTTGGGAGGAGATATGAGATGTACTCCATGTATGATTATGTCTTTAAATACATTGTATATGTATGATGTTTGGAAGGAGATAGGGGATGTGCTCCATTAAATTAAGTTAGTCGGAGTATCTAGGGTGAAAGTCCTGAAAATCACGATTATACATGGGTGCCGATTCCCGCGAACAAAATGTCCGTAAAATGGCAAATAGAAGTGATTGTATGATGGTAGTACTGGTTAGAGATCTATTGAGTTGTACTCTCAATTTGGTTGTCTGAATGACATGGAACTGATGTCATGAATTGAAATAATACAGTTAGTACTGCTTGATTTGCAAAAGAATTATAAAATGGTGTATCAATGGCATTGTAATTGCATATTACCCTTATACCTTCATTAAACTCCATGTATGATTATGTCTTTAAATACATTGTATATGTATGATGTTTGGAAAGAGATAGGGGATGTACTCCATTAAATTAAGTTAGTCGGAGTATCTAGGGTGAAAGTCCTGAAAATCGCGATTATACATAGGTGCCGATTCCCGCGAACAAAATGTCCGTAAAATGGCAAATAGAAGTGATTGTATGACGGTAGTACTGGTTAGAGATCTATTGAGTTGTACTCTCAATTTGGTTGTCTGAATGACATGGAACTGATGTCATGAATTGAAATAATACAGTTAGTACTGCTTGATTTGCAAAAGAATTATAAAATGGTGTATCAATGGCATTGTAATTGCATATTACCCTTATACCTTCATTAAGTTTCATATGTTATATTGGATTATTTCTATTGGGTTTTGGCTCACCCTATATGAGAAAACCATTTTCAGATACTGGTGATATGCCTCCACTAAGGGCTTTGCTTGGGAGGACTGTGAAACTGAAGGCTCATATTGTTTTACTTTGCTTGTATTTTGTATATCATATTTGTATAAGCCTAGGGTTTTATTTGTTTTAAGCTTATGACTCACATTTGTTGTACCTAAGCAGCGACTTGAAAAGATGTAAGCCAGTAAGGCATATGATACGTGTGTAGCTTTCACCCCTTATCGCATCTGTCACTTTTGTATATTAAATTCTGATTAACGAAAGTGTGTCGTTTCAATTATACTACTGTTTATGGGATGAATTTATTGTATTTATTTCGGGGCGTTACAAACAGTCCGGTGGATTACAATCCCCTCTTATTCAGTTCGTCCAAACAAACACACCATAAGTAGTTTTTTAGTGTATTATATTGGAGTGTTACGTTTTTCGAGTGTTACATTACAGTGTTATGTTTAGAAAAAATACACTAATTTTTTTTTTGAAGTGTTACGTTTAGTAATTTCAACATTTTGAGAAAATTCACATTTGTCTCTCAATATATAACCACACTCATTTATGTTTGGTCCTCTATGTAATTTACACCAAAATAGGACTTTTAAATATATAAAAAAAAATCAAACAATTTATAAGATTACTATTTAAAATTTATTTAGTGAATTTGGTTTCATTTTTCTGAAAATTGAGTTTTTTTTATTTTCATATTTTTCTTTTTTTAGTGAATATTTTTAAAATTTTAAGTAATTTTTTTACTTTTTTAAATGCACCTTACTTAAATGTAACCAAATAGTAAAATATTTATAAAAAAATATTTGAAAAAATTAATAAATATACAAAAATATGAAAAATTTATTGAATTTTTATTTAATTTTTTTTTCATAAATATTATATTTTTTAAATATATTTATATTAAGTATGATTAAAAATTAAAAAAATTACTTAAAATATTTAATATTTTTTAATAAAAATAAAAAAATATGAAAAATAAAAAAATAAAATTTCCTATATTTCACATATTTTTTAAATGCCAGCTAAACAACCTCTCAGGGTCCGTTTGGGAAGAACTAAAGTGGACTTTTTTGGCTATTTTAGTCACAAAAATAAAATAGACTATTTTAGTCACAAAAAATAAAACATCACATCTAATCCATAATCATTACACTATTTTCTCACAAAAAAAGTTAAAAAATTTAAAAAGCCAAAAAGTCCTTCCCAAACTAAATTTTTTAACCTAAGCTAAAATAGTCAAAAAAGTCAAAAAAACTAAAAAGCCAACCTACTCCCCAAACAAAGGCTCAATAGGGGTGTGTGAGTGAGAGAGAGTTAAAACCGTACCGTACAATCAATCCAGTGGAACTGCAGAGGAGAAGTCAAAATTTATTAATGAAGGAAGCATTTTCGTAGAGATTTCGATACCGCTTTTTTTTTTTTTTTTTGTCAAACCTCGTGACTAATGTAGTTTATGGTTATGTTGTGGTTGTGTTTGTGTTTGTGTAGGTCAACCATTTTGATTTGCAAAGGCTTTCTGTCTCATCCAACGCCTCTCATTCTCTCTCCCTCTCTCCCTCTCTCGCTACATTAATCACACTCATTCCAATAACTCACAACACAAACAAACCCCAATATCACCACCACACCACACCACACCACACACCACACCTCTCAGATCTCATCTCATACTCTCTCTCTCTCTAAAATTCTCTCACTCTCTCTCTCTCTCTCTGTGGCCGGAAATCTAGTGGAAAAAAGCTTTTGATGCTGCGATTTTCTCAGAAACCCTAATCTTTGGTACTCGATAGCTCTCTTTGCTGTTTATTTTTTCTTTTTACGCTTTCAATTTGTTCGGATTACAACTTACTACTCTGATCTATGGTTTTTCATTTCATTTACTTGTCGAGTTTTGTTGATTTGTTCAAATATCTTCCATTTTTGTGCCATCTTTATATTTTCTTATCAATTTCGTGGATCATATATATATGTAGCGTTTACGGGTGTTTTGTGTTTTCTGATTTGACGTCTCTGTAGGATTTAGATTTGTTTGTGAATTTATTGATTTGGGATGTATTTTTACTTTTTAGCAATTTGAGGGTTTCTTTCAGTTTTTAATTTTTTGGGGGGTGATTTATGGGATCCATTCAATTATCTTGTTGTTTTGGTGTAGGTTTGAGTTCATAATTTGCTGGTAAAATTTGGAGCTGAAGAAGTTGATTCAACATGCCGTGGACGCCAACTTGTGTGAATTATAGCAGGAAGTGTGTTCGCTTGGTGGTATTCTTTCGTGTCATACTGTAATTGTTTTTTTTTGTTTCGGTGAGATTTCTCTCTTTTTGAGTTAATTTTTAACTTCGTAGGTTGTTTAAAATATGTGCTTATGTGTTTTGGTTTAATTTAGTTGGATTAGTTGTTTTATATGCTCGTTTTGATTGTGGTCTTGGAGGTATTCATAGATATCATACTTTTAATTGAAATCGTCTTGGCAAGTTATTTCTGTCTTGATGATGTATATGAAGATCTTTTTCTAGTTTAAAATTTTGATTTCATTTATTATTAATTTATTGGAAACATTGGTATTATGAGATAAGCTAAGATTTCTAGAAAATGGAAAAATAAAAAATAAAAAATAAAAAATTGTGTTTTCTAGAATGGTATGGTGAATAATATTTTATCTAAGTTTGATTAGTGAGAATCTATGGGGTTCGTATTTGACAGTTTTTGTATTGTGAGAGGTTTGGATGGAGTAGGCCCGGGCCTTGAGGGAAGGCAGGTGGCCGCCTTGGCCCCTCACCCCTGAATTCTGTCTAAAAAATAGGCCCCCCAAATAAATTTAAGGCTTATGTTTATGGTTGGTTCTTTGAAATTAATGGAATAAAATAATCATTCTATTATAATGCTCATTTTCATGTTTGATTCACTAAAAAATGATAAAACTATATGAAATTGATGGAGGTGAAAATTGAAATTTCAAAATTTTAAATTTCACTTAGTTTTGCTTTTGGAATGAAACTTTATTTTGTAATTTCTCCTATTTAATGGCATTAAAATAACTTATAAACTTTGCTTTGGTATTGGTATTGTTGAACTATGATTTATCTTTTGGTTTTGTAATTTCTCTTTTTAGTTTTAGTTTTGGTATTGAATTTTGATTTGTAGATTGAATTTCAAGCTATAAATTACAAAAAAATAAAAAATTTATTGACATATTCCAGCCGTACCCGTATTATATTTTTTTAAAGTCTTGTCATATTGGCATACATGTACTAATATCTGTACCCGCACCTGTGCTTCATAGATCTCAACAATTGTGGTTTATGCTTATCTCAATAATTATGACTTATGTCAACTATAAAAATCCGCTCGCTAATACAATATTTTTGAATTAGATTTATCGCCTAATATTTTAAGTGATTTTTGTGCATCACATGGATAAAAATCTACCAAATTTAGTGTTTATATATGCAAGCAAATTTTGTATATTCAAAATTTATTTATTTATTTTAAATATGTATGAAAGCCCCATATTTTTTAGCTCACCTTGGACCCCCAAAAAGTCAAGGCGGACCCTGGATGGAAGCCTCCATTTTAGTTGGCTAGGCATTCATTTCTGTTTCTTTGATTTTTTGAGCAATCAATTGGGGTTTAATGATTGTACTGTTATATATCAACTTTTGTACAATGTAACACAATCTTTTGAAGTACTAATGTAGTTTATGGTTATGTTGTGGTTGTGTTTGTGTTTGTGTAGGTCAACCATTTTGATTTGCAAAGGCTTTCTGTGACTTTACTGTTTACTATATAAGGTCAGTTGGTTAGGGTGAGAATGTTCATTGCCATTACACTGAAGAGATATCGTGCAGTGAAGGAAGTTGGGAAGATTAAAATGAGTGTTGGGATAATTGCTTATTACCAACTGATGCAAGTTTGTCAGGTAAAAGTGTTATTTTCTTTCTTTAATATATATTGTCAATATGTCATTTTTAATCTTTTATATATTGTGACCTTTTCTAATAATCTTTTCCTGAGTTTGCCTAGAAGTTTGCGGCCTGTTTGGTATCTTTTTAAATGTCTATCCTGTCTATAAATTTTGAAAAAAAAAAATGGTGTAAAAAAGTTTGGCAATGCACCTTTTTTAAATGTCTATCCTGTCTATAAATTTTGAAAAAAAAAAAAATGGTGTAAAAAAGTTTGGTTATAGCCTTTGAAGAGAATTTCTGAGAGCACTATCATTTTTAGGGAATTATTTAAAATAGCTTTTTAATGTCTCTGAAATATTGGATTATAAGTAGATCGTAAGAATATGAATGAGAATAGCTTCAATTTTGAAATTTTCCTCATTAATTACCAATTCATTCGTGTGTGTGCTCATATGTGAATTTTACAAAGCTGTATGACCCCAATACGTTTATTCATTTACAGACAACTCTGGTTAGAAGGAACAAAACGCAAGAATGGAGTGGAACTGAAATATAATGGGAGCAAATTATATAATTCTTTCATAAATAATTCAAAATCAATATGCTTGCCTTCATTATTAGAATTACTTTGCCAGTGATTTGTTTTTACTTCCAATACTGGTGTCACTGGGTCTTTGGTGCAATTCTCTTCGTTCCTGTATTTGTGTCACAGGTCTTTGGTTGATATATAATTTTGTATGTGCCTGTCTTTGTTCGATTTCTATATGAAATGGATTCATGAATTTCTGGATATTGTGCTAGCTTCTCTGTTGCATAAAGTTTCTAGCTCAACAGTAATTTAAATTTATTTCATTCTGGTGTACTATGTTAAGTTTGAAGCACACAAAGATCTATGCTTAGGGTGTCCCTTTTACCAAGGAATGCTATATTGTTATGAATGAATGAAAATATGGTATTGGAGTTGATAAGCTTTCCTATAGTGTTCATCTTTGTTTGACCTATTTGTCATTGCAACCCCATCTGATTGGGGCACAAGGCTTTTGGTTTGATTTGGTATTGCAAGATTTGATATCACTTTCTCAATTTTTCTAGTATACATTTATATTATTAGATTAACCAATATATTTCATTGGACATGTAAGTGTCATTAATACTTGTGACTCATGATTTACTTTGCAGGCTGAGTATTTCCGTCAGTTGCTCAAACCTGTTACGTAGTCTGGTGTAGTAAAAGCTGTGGGACATTGGGACAGACTGCTCTCTGTTTGTGTTTGTTCATAAGAAGGCAGTCGTATCAGCTTATGAAACCTTGATTCAAAAAACAGCAAATTTGGATTAGACGGTTCTCTCGTACAGTGATGGAAACTCGTTAAGTGTATTGTTTAGTCTTCTCATCTCCTTAGTAACTTTCATTTAATTGAAAATTCCCAGTCTCAGTAACCACAAGTATTTCCTTCGGTGAACTTATTTGTTCAAAAGAACTACCCATGCAGAGCGACCAGCAACTTTTCCCTCAAAATCCTGTGTTTCCCCTTTCAAATCAAGCGGGTGGTAATTACATGTATAATGCTCCCAATGCATCTGCCTTTGGTGGGACAGTTTTACCTACTGGTGTAAGGAACTCAAGGCCCTTCCATGGTGTTGACTTTCAACCCTCTGATGTCTGCCCTAAGAATTTCATTATTTTCGATCAGACTGAGAAAAGAAGCCAAATTATGTTCAATCCAGCAATTGCTCCCAAATTCTGTTACCCTGGTTTAAATATGTATACATCTCACATTCATGACACTGTTGAGAGGGAAGCAATTACCGAGAAAGAACATTCCTCATCAATGGGAGAAGATTCAGATGATATCGATGCATTGTTGAGTTTGGAAGAGGAAGAAGAGGAATATTATAACGAGGAAGAGATCAGCACAGCACGGACATGTGGAAATTATGAAAGCGATTCCTCGGATTCTTGCTCTAGTTACGGTTCAAAACCCAAAAAGAGCAGGTTGCCTTCTTTACAGAAGTCCGCTGGCAGCTGTAACAGTGAAAGGAAGCGTGAGAAAATGAGGAAGATGGTGAAGACACTTAGAGGAATTGTTCCCGGTGCCAACCAAATGAACACTGTCGCTGTTCTTGATGAAGCTGTCAGGTACCTCAAGTCTCTCAAGGTAGAAGTGCAGAAAATTGGAGTTGGAAACCTGTAGAATTAAGCTTGAATCTTTGCTGTGGTAACAATGATTGAACCTCCTAGTTTTACCATTAGTGTAAGTTCATCCTCTCTCTCTCTCTCTCTCTCTCTCTCTCTCTCTCTCTCTCTCTCTCTCTCTCTCTCTGTGAGCAGGTTGGCTGTACAAAAGGTGATGATGCTGGTCTTTCAAATGCGCACATGATTATGGCAGAGATTCCAAATGCTTCAGAAGCGGTGGTGTAGGTGCTTGACTTGGGGCGAAAAAATAAATTTCTAGCAGTATGGTTGGTTGTTCTTGCTTTATGTAGGAAGGGTAATATTTGATGTGTATTATTAATACTATGTTCAACTCTGGCTGTTGTGTCTTGTTTTCACTGCTACTTTATGGGTTTTAAATTTATTATAATGACTTATTATATAATAGATGCCCTCTTATCTGCCTTTACTGCTTTTCTTGATTTATTTTTATTTATTTTTGTTCGAGCCATCATTCATGCCAAATACTATATATTTATTTAATGCCTAGTTGGGTAGTGATTGTCACTTTATGTGAGCACGTCTTGCTCAAATGTTTTCATTTTCTTGTATGCATTCTTATCTTTCATTTGCCGGGAATTTTGAGACATTGAAAATTCTGGTCATGAATGCATGATGCTTTTGTTTGCCCCTTTGTCGTTGCTCCAATAGCCAGCCATGTTGGTGGCACACCACTGAAAATTTTTAATTGCATATTTTAGCCCTTCTACAGATTGCAGTCGGCTTCTTTGGCGAGCTTCTATTTGCACACATCATTTCCTTTTTATTCACACTTAATGAATAATATTTTTATTTCAATTTTATCTTAATATAAAAATACAATAATACCCTTATCTTCTTCAACCACTACCTTCCATTACCGGAGCTGCCCTTCCTTTTTGCCGTCGACTCCTAGCCTCCTCCCTTTCCGTCGCTTCTCAATCACAAACCTTCCATGAACTCTCCTTTGTCGAAAAAAACCCTAGCTTTGAAATCCCCACATCTGCCAATCCCTCTCAACACTGCGTGAACCTACTTCTGTAAACCCAAATGGGTTCGATGGTTGGTATTCAATGAAGCCCTATTGGTTCGGTAGTTGGTATTCGAACAAAAGTCATTGGTTCGATGGTACATTTCCGAATGGCTGCAATTTTTTCGACTCTGGTAGTTTGAAAGGTAAAAAATTGAGTCGTTTTCCCAGATCTAACAAAAGAGAAGCTGTGATGGAAGGAGTGGCAATTTGCAAATTGAGTTGGTTTCTCCAATTTGCAGATTGAGCAAAAAGTCGTAAAAAATTGAGTCATTTTCTCACATCTAACAAAAGTCCTTTTTCCCAAATGTGAAAGAATTCCTTCAATGATTCAGGTGATTTTGTTCAATGCTATTCAAAGCCAATGCTTCAACGAGACGTGGTCGTTGGATGGATGAAGCTTTTGGGGAGCAAACAGTAGAGTGTGAAACAGTAGTGTGTGAGAGATGTGTGAGACGTCTTCGTTGGATGGATGAAGCTTTTGGGGACAAACAGTGGAGTGTGAGAGGTGTGTGTGTGAGTGACGGGTCTGTTTTGTGTTCTCTGAGAGGGTGTGTGCATTATTTACATTTGAGGGTAGACGTGGAATAAGAGGTGTGTGGAGTGAGCAAAATAAATTAGGATTAATTTTTTAAGTGTGTATTGAGAATGATGTGCACTAAGTGGAATGGGTGTGTGCAAAGAGAAGCTCCCAGCTTCTTTGCCACACATTTTGGGAATTTGACGGTTTTGTCCCTCTTCCTCAAATGTTTCACTGTTTCACTTTGTTGTATGCATTCTTATCTTTCGTTTGCTGGAAATTTGGAGACATTGATTAGAAATTCTGGACATGAATGCTTGATGCTTTGTGTCTCACCCAATGAATATGAAGGCATAATTATTTCTTGGCTAAACACAACTTTTAAGGTCCTAATCTGACCCAATGACAAATGTTATCTGTCCTAATTTATGTTACTGATTTGAGTTGTGGAAATCATTATAACTTCTTCCCAACCCTATTGCCTTAGGCACTATTACTTTTTATTTTTCAACTGTTAATTTCACTTTTATCTTTAAATTATTCTCATTTTATTTTTAAATTTCATCTTTGCATTATTAATTTAATGTATTTAGTCAATAAAGTTTCTAATTTAAGTATTGTGGTCTAATTGGATACAATTGTCCAAATTAGTAACTGTCAAAACCTAATTGGACAAAGAAGTCGTTTCAAAACATGAAATCTTGAATCACAGCTATACATGTATTTTTATATTTATTATTGTTTATTAAATATTTTATCAAACTTCTCATATGGGGTGAGATTTATACAAATCTACACGTGTGGATTCCACACATGTGAGAGATTTAGTAGAATATTTGGGATCCTTAGCATAACACTTTATTATTTTGAAATAAGAGATGGAAAATAAGAGATGGAGAAGAAAATGAGTGTTTAGTTGTAAGGTGTAAATTTCCAAATATAAAGATAGTTGTTTTTCGTTATATGATTTAAATTGTTCAAATTATAAAATTCTTTTATTGCGCATTAAAGTACATTTCTGCTCTTACTAATTTGGACAAATTATTTTCAATCTTTAAGAGTTATATAGATAAAGTTGATACTTCGAAAATGAAATGGAAAAAATAGTTTAAGAGGAAATAAAAATAAAAATTAAATCAACCCATAATATGATATATTATGAGGGCAGAAAATGATGGTGGGAAATTAAGCTCACAAATTTCAAAGCACGTGGGATGATTTCTTTGCAAATTGCATGAATGGTAGTTTCTCCAGAGTCAAGAGTCTCTCCATCCAGTCCGTCCTTGCGCCTGTTCTTGCAGGTCTTTGGATTTATTTTTAGGTTCAATTTTAATAATTCGAACTGTTCATATTTTATGATTTGTTTAGTATATCATACATGTAAAAAATCAAGTTGATCGGATATCAGAAAGTATGTGTTCGAAAACTATTTATTAAATTATTTAAAAAATAGTTTTTAGTTCAATTTTTCGAACACATGCTTTCTGATATCCGATCAACTTGATTTTTTACAGGTATGATATACTGAATAAATCATAAAATATGAACGGTTCAGATTATCAAAATTGGGTCTAAAAATAGACCCGAAGGCTTGTAAGGACGGGCGCAAGGACGAAAGCTGCAAGAAAAAGATCCTGATTCGTTTCTCCAAGCATACGAAACGTTGAGATGATTTCTTAGAAATGGACACATTATTGTAATTATGTACCACCCTATCATGAATGAGGCACCTAGTTTCACCAAAAAATTGGCGAAGATAGTAAGCTCAAGTTCTTAGAGCGGCTCAAAAAGTTTAAAAATAATAATTTTTAAGAGTGAAAAATTCAACACAAAAACTCGTGTTTGTTGTGAATTGTCAAAAAAAAGATATGCACAATGACAAATGTTATCTGTCTTAATTTTATGGCACGGATTTGAGTTGTCCCCAACCCTACTAAAATTGCTTTAGGCACTCAATATTACTTTTTTTTGTTAGTCAACCGTTAATTTCACTTTAATCTTTAAATTATTCTCATTTTTTGGAAAAAAATTCACCTTTACACTATTAATTTAATGTTTTCAGTCAATAAAGTTTCTAATTTAAGTAATGTGGTGTAATTGGAGACAATTGTCCAAATTAGTAACTATTAGAGCATCCGCATCAGTATAGCCAAAATAACAAAAAGGTAAAATATAGTGTGTGTGTCAATTTCCGACCACACTGTCAAACTAGTACTCAGCTGGAGAGCACCGGCAGAATAGATTAAGTCCGAACGACCTGCAACAGAAAGAAAAGTCTTCGACGGTGGCTCGTCCACCCGGAGGCACTCCAACGCTCAAGTTAGTAAAATATCTCTCAAAGATAACCAATAGTGCTTAACTCACTAGATAGAATATCAAAAGTGCCAAAGACATACCTTAGACCCATGAGGGTGCCTCTCTTTTATAGTCAACATAATCCTAGTCCCAATAGAAGCGTACCTCAAATGGATTTAGGATTACTGCTAATCTTGGACTCCTAGTAGAATTAGGATAAACTCTCTAAGAGTCTTATCTTTACCCAAACTGAAGTCTTTTCCTATTCTAGGACTCTTGTCCCTTATCCGCTTATCTCGGATTCCGATATTCTCGTAGATAACCTCGGCGTAGCCGAGATTACCTCGGCGTCATGACCAGGACACGTGGCACCTCGGCTGGCACTTCGGTGACACCTCGGCTACGTGTTGTCATTCAAAAATTATGTCCCCACAACTGCCTCCTAAGTTCTATTACCTTGGTATCCTGAGGTGATGGAGCCTATATCATTCCTTCCTTTAATCATGACCCCGGTTTAATTTCAACTTGTAAACTTTTCTCAAATTTCAACAAATGTTAAACATAATCTCAGTTTAACTTCAACTTGTAAACTTTTTTCAAGTTTCAACAATGTTAAACATCATCTCGGTTTAACTTCAACTTGTAAACTTTTCTCAAGTTTCAACAAGTGTTAAACATAATTTCGGTTTACTCTTCTCTTCTCGGACTTAATCATCTTAGGCCGAGATCTTGTCTTCTGGGATCTGGGATCTGAGATTTGGAATCCGGGGTCGGCTTACTTGGGCTGAGCTTTTGTCTTCTCATGTCCAGTGTTATCTCGACTTGATAGGTGAGGTTACCTTGGCATCTTGTCGCTTTCTCTGGAGGTAATCCCTCAGATCCTCCTTGGTTCGTCCAGGAGCTCGGCTATCTCCGGATTTCAACCCCTTTGATGCACTACTTCCTGTGTCATTGCGAGTCCTTTTGGACCTCCTTCAATTGGTCGCGTCGAAACAGAGGTCCTTCCCCTGAACATGCCGATGTTCTTTGGAGTCAACTTCCTTGGTGCGATGTGTCCTCTGTGAATCTCCCCTTCTTGATTCTCCTCGTCCGACCTCCCTTGAAGGCCGGTGAGAATGTTCATTGGTCCTATCGTGCTGAGGAGTCGTAGGAGTTGTCTTCTGCCCCTCTACCTGGGCATCTTTCTTGGCTGCTGGAATCGACATATCTTGTGGTGGCTGGAGGTCGTCCTCGTTATAATACTTGCTTCGGTCTGATTTCTTCCGCACGTCCCCCTTCTAGTCGACGTTCTCTTCTCTGTGATTCTTATCACGCGTTTCTTCGTTGTAGTTGTCTTCTTCGACGCCAAGGTCAATATGTTTCCCACTCTTAGTAGGGGTGTCGTCCCTAACCTTCTCTTTCGGTCTGTCGTTGACCATTTATTCTCCTTTCGTTCCCATAGACGGCGCCAAATTGTGGGGGTGATTTTCTGACCACACTGCCAAACAGGTACCTAGCTGGAGAGCACCGGCAGAATGGATTAAGCCCAAACGACCTGCAATAGAAAGAAGAGTCTCCGGCGGTGGCTTGTCCACCCGGGGGCACTCCGACAATCAAGTCAGTAAAATATCTCTCAAAGATAACCAATAGTGCTTAACTCACTAGACAGAATATCAAAAGTGTCAAAGACATACCTTAGGCCCATATGATCCTAGTCCCCATAGAAGCGTAGCTCAAATGGATTTAGAATTACTGCTGATCTTGGACTCCCAGTAGGATTAGGATAAACTTTCTAAAAGTCTTATCTTTACCCAAATTGAAGTCTTTTCCCATTCTAGGACTCTTGTCCCTTATCTGCTTATCTCGGATTTCGGTATTCTCCCAGATAACCTCGGCCTAGCCGAGATTATCTCAGCTTCATGACCAGGACACGTGACACATCTGCTGGCACTTCGGTGACACCTCGGCCACGTGTTGTCATTCAAAAATTATGTCCCCACATATAGCTAGTAAATCATAAAATTGTTCCTCTATCAGTCTCAATAATTTTTTTTCTAAATTAGCTTTTTGTTAAATTTGCTACAGTACCTCAACAACTTTGTTGAGGCACTGTTCATTAGCTGCATGATTTTTTATTATATTTTTTGGAGCAAAACTGGGCCAAAATCTTTAAATCGGTCGTCCATCCACCTCCCGGATATCCTACCAGATGTCCTGTGAGTACCTGTAGCAGAAGAAGAAAAATGTTCAAAATTAGCCTAATCAGTTGATCGGCCGGTCAACCGGTCAACGATTTTTTTTTTTTTTTTTTTTTTTTTTAAGAATTGTTTGGGTGGCACCTCATCAATTTAATAAAAAAAAGAAAGAATAACAAATACAATAAGAAATTAATATTTTAATAATATTGAGTTAGAATAGAGAGTTTGATACAGTGAATACTAAAAAGGTGATTAGTTAAAATAGTAAAAGTAAATTTCGAGTTATAATTTAACTAAAAATTTGAAGAGACTGATGCGAATGCTCTAAGACATTTAAAAAATAGCTTTATGGTGGTGGTTTATTTTTCCCCCCATTATTGGGTTGTTTGTATCTAGTAGTAGTTGTTAGGTTTAGGCTTGGGGTTAAGCTTGGTTTATTGATTGAGTTAAACTTTATTGATTTTCTAATTATTGTAAACTAGTAGTTTGTTTGATAATGTAAATATTACTCATATTTGTAATTACTCTCCTATCAATTGACAAAAAATAAAATAAAATAAAATAAATGTAGATTGTCAAAACCTTTTTTTGGACAACTCAATATCCAACACATTAGACTCATTAATTTGAAAAATCAATTCCACCGTCCACTTGTCAAAACCTACCAAGCATCAATGTAAAAAAACTAATATATCTTTAATTTTGTTCAACAAAAATGTTAGAAATTTCAAAAATTTTATCAAAATTTTTACCAAATATTTCACATGAGTGTGGGACCCATTTCACATGAGTGTGGAGTCTCACACCCATGTGAGATATTTATTAAAAATTTTGATAGAACTTTTAGAGTCTCTAATGTCACTTTTTGTTCAAAGGACAAAATGACTTGATTGTTTATCAATGGAAAAAGGGAATTTAAGGCAAAAAATAAGCCATATTTCAGTCAACCCATTTTTCTACACAATTAAAAAAGTCACTAAAATTTTTTTTTCCAAATACAAAAAAAAAAAATTAACCTTACAAAAAAATCAAAAAATTACTGAAAAAGCCAAGTCCCAAACCATACCTAATTATTAATTTTGATATTGTTATTTTTGGTATCAAATTTGACACAAATTTTAATAGACAGTCAGTTTTGACATTGCTATAAATGATTAAATGTATTTTATAATGATTTAATGATGGTTACTATCTAAAAAAAAGATTTAATGATGGTTGAAAAGTTAAAATGATAATTGTGTTAAAAAATAATACAAGTATTAGAGCATGATTGTCTAGTTTTAACAATCTTAGTCCAATACCAAAGCCATTTTAACAAGCCAGACCAATTGGAGATTGTTAACAAGCCAAAGCCATTTTTTTTTTTGGCAATACTACAGTGCCAAATGTCAAAATCGCTCCAATGGTATGTAAATTTTAAAATTCAGAAAATGTGTACTCTCTGAATTTTAGGAAAAAAAGTCAACTAATCAAGACTATCATCATTAACTTACGTTTATTTGGCGGATTAAGTTGGATAGAATTATTAGTAAAAGAATTGTTAGTAAAGAAATAGTTAATGTGAGGATTGTTAGTGAGAAGATTAAGTAAAAATGTGTTTATTTTGATGATAGTGTAGGAGATGGTTAGTGATGGGATTATTAAATTATTTTTTATATAAAATAAATAAATAAATTATTTCTATATTAAAAAAAAAAAACTAAAACAAATATTAAAACAAACAGGTGCACTTGGTAAAAAAAATAAAAAAAAAACACTTTATATAAAACAAATTCAATCCTCTCATTATTTTTCCTAATCCCACCTAAAATTCTCCCAAGCTAATCCCCCTACTGAAGAAGATTAGCAAGCCGCTTGGAGTAGCAATCCCTCTCTACAAGGAAGCCATCAAACAAGTTATAGTGAGACTCACCTCATTACTACTCTAATCCCACCTCCTAATCTCCCAAACAAATATGACCTTAGAGTAGTTTTTATTTTTTTGAAGGCTTTGGTTTGGCTGATCAAATTTGGCATTTAGCATTGGAGATATATTTTTATGAGGTTAAATATTTGTGATGTTCAATGCATTTCCAATTATTAATTATATGTTTAGTTATAGCTTTGTAGTGTAACATAATGAAGAGTATATTAATATGAATCGAGAAATGGATGCTGATGACCGTGAACTTAAAAAAATATTAACAACCCATTTTAAAGTCAATGATGCAGGTCTTTGAACTATTTTAAAGACGAAAACACAAATCTTAAAACAGTGAAATTTTTCTACTAATTTCACAGTATGAGATTACAAGGTTTGTTAGGAATACCAACAATGGAAACAAAGTGAGTTTGATTATTGCAACACATGACTAGCCCTTCAACATCTACTTCAGAATTTAGAACAATCTATAACATGAAATGACATAGACGAAGTACTGTAACCTGTAACTCATCGAACTTCTTTCAATTACTAAGCGTACGCATAATTGCAATCATCATAGCCTGCAAAATCGAAAAAATAGAGAAATAAATGACCGTTACAATCCAATAGTATTGAAATAAATCATAATTTGATTAATTCCAAATCGCTAAGGTGATTTTTTTTTTTTTTTTTTTTCGCGGAATGAAATGCTTACTCGGGTCAGTCACAGTGATAACACCGGAGTTCTTGAAGTTGCAATTCCAAAAGTGTCTTCCCTCTTTTTGGAAGTACAAGTTCATGGCAACCGAGGCATGGTTCACTAGGGTTTCAGGGGAGAAACAAGAACCACCAGTTACGATTGTCTTGCAATCCACTGATCCACAGGCATAATTTATGTTCTCCTGCAACACCTCATTGGATGATGAAGGCTTTGCCACACACCAAGCTCCCTGCACCACCATCAACAGTTTTTTTTCCACAATCGAAATGAGAAAACAATATGAAGACAATTATTTTATTTTATTTTCTAGTTAAAGTGTTCAGAATGCAATGTTGGCTGCACTGCATTCATTGTGGTGGCTAGTTCCGCATTTTGGGCACTTTATTGTGAATTTATTTATTTTTTGTGCTTGTAGCCTTTTTGATCAAGAGTTTTTTTTTTTTTCAACAATCGAAATAGGAAAGTCGTGTAATTTTTTCAAAAAAACATCCGCACTTTGCTTACCAATTTTGATTTTCGACTTTGTATCCAGTCATTAATTTAGTTATTCTGTTCAAATTGGATGTTAAAATTCATAATATTTTAACACATGTTACTCTCATGAGGAATTTTCGTAGAAAAAAAAATGACAGCAATTTGGACAGAAAAATCAAATTAAACAGGACAAAGTCTAAGGTTAGTTTTGTTTGAATTGAAATAATGAGGATCAAAGTTAAATTTGAGTTAAACTATAATATGAAAAGTGTAATTTAATATTGAAATCTATTTGGGTAGCACGATTTTTTTTTTTTTTTAACAATCAAAATGGGAAAACAATACAAACACGGAAAATTGTCTAGAAAAGTGTCTAAAATGTTGCCCAGGCTAGTGCTACATTTTGGACATTTGTAAAAAGAAAAAATTCGACAATTATAAATAGGATAACAATGTGAACAAATTTTTTTTTACCATAAAAGTGTCCACAATCAACCAGGATGAATGGAGGGTCGGCAATACTACATTCTGAACAATTTTCTGTGAAATTTTTCTGTGTCCGGCGTATTATGGATCAAAATGATCGATTCAATGATTGTCATCCGTCTTGGGACTAATTGATATTGAAATTTACCTCTGCTTGTCCATATGCAAGCTTCAGAATTCCACCTAAACAACACAAACATGGAAAGATTATGAACTAAAGGGTACATCCCAATATGCATTGTAAGTTCCATATTGAAAAACCCGATGAATCGGACAAGAAATAATTCAAGAACTTGGTTGTGATGAAGATCAACCCCGATCAAAATTCATCTAATTATAACAAAACTGTAAAATTTACGAGAGTGCCACTTGGAATTCGGGTTGAAAAGTCACTTGAATTTCCAAATAACAAAATTCAAACACACAATCTTGAATTGCACTTGATTGCTACAAACTTAACAATCAAATGAAATTTGTAATCAAATTCAGAAAGGGAAGAAAAAAAAAAAGTGAGGCTAAGATTGAAAACCCATATGCATAAATCTAGAATTTGATAAGAAAAAAGGTACCTGAGTGCAAGAACAAGAGGAGAGAGAAGCAGAGAATGGGAAGAGAAAGAGCTGATGAGTTACCCATGGATGAGAGAGAGAGAACTCTACAAAGAATAAATGGTGGTTGGCTGTGCATGAAGAGAAGGCAAATGGGGTCTCAATTTATAGTGACATCAAGTCACTGTGAGATGAACTAAAAGAAAAAAGAGTCTAGGCATCAACATTTGAGGATTTGAGCACAATACTCCGAAAAAATCTTTTATTTTTAGAAGGCAAAATTTATTATTATTTTTTTTTACTATAAATAGATGCGGCTCAAGTATTATGTCAGTTAGATAGTCGTCTAATAAGGCCCACAAAAAAAAATTTATTGTCAAAACCCTCAACTTTTTAAAGACCTTAAATGAAGTCTTATTTTGATGTTTAGTCTAAGACCTTCACAAATCTTAAACCGCCACTGACTATAAAATGATTTGAGTGTTAAAAGAATGAAAATTTTGGTGTTATTGCATATTCATTTATCGTCCTAGAATAAATCTATCTACATAGAAATTGTTCACAAAATTAGATTTTAAAAAATTGTAAATAGATAGATAAATTTTTGTAAAAGTGAGTTCTACTAAATTTTTTTTATGTATTTTATATTTTATTCTGTATTTAATTTATGTACACATATATATTACAAGAGGAGTGATGGAGACGATGAACTAAAAGAAAAAAGAGTCTAGGCATCAACATTTGAGGATTTGAGCACAATACTCCGAAAAAATCTTTTATTTTTAGAAGGCAAAATTTATTATTATTTTTTTTTACTATAAATAGATGCGGCTCAAGTATTATGTCAGTTAGATAGTCGTCTAATAAGGCCCACAAAAAAAAATTTATTGTCAAAACCCTCAACTTTTTAAAGACCTTAAATGAAGTCTTATTTTGATGTTTAGTCTAAGACCTTCACAAATCTTAAACCGCCACTGACTGTAAAATGATTTGAGTGTTAAAAGAATGAAAATTTTGGTGTTATTGCATATTCATTTATTGTCCTAGAATAAATCTATCTACATAGAAATTGTTCACAAAATTAGATTTAAAAAAATTGTAAATAGATAGATAAATTTTTGTAAAAGTGAGTTCTACTAAATTTTTTTTTATGTATTTTATATTTTATTCTGTATTTAATTTATGTACACATATATATTACAAGAGGAGTGATGGAGACCCCCTCCAATCACTACCCCCATACACATGTGGCAGGTGGTGATTGGAGGACAAGGGAAACATAAAAAAAGAAAAAGAAAATCCAACCAATGAGAGAGAGAGGAGGTCAAAGGGGGTTGGAAAAAAAAAGGGAGTCTTAGACATTTTTGATATTACAATGGGAGGCAGTTAGTGGAGGAATCTGCTGTGAAAAAAAGTTGAGACATCCAATTTGGGTATGATATTGATTCATGAAAGCCTTAAATGTTAATGTCAAAAACTGCATATCGTGTGGCTGACATATTTCAGAATCTATACAGTTTTATTAATAAAAGTTAAAAATAAAGAGACATGGGACAGTTTGGCCGAGTGGTCTAAGGCGCCAGATTTAGGCTCTGGTCCGAAAGGGCGTGGGTTCAAATCCCACAGCTGTCATTTTCAATTTTTCCTTTTGACAAAAATATATAATTTTCTTTTTTTATTTATTTTATTTTTATTATATTTAATTCTGAAATTTTAATTTTTTTTAAATATTTTACAAAAATACAAAAATATATTTTTCTTTTTTTTTATTATATTTAATTCTTAAAATTTATATATTTGACAAAAATATTTTTTTCCTTTTGAAGGGTCATGTTATTTGAGCCTCTAAAACCTACAAAAACAAAATGATCCCTCAACAAGTAGTGGGGGAAAAGAGAGTAGGCTTAAATGCAGGGGATTGAGATTAAAATTGATCAAACTTTATTGTTTGGGTGAATGTACATTGAGATTAACCTCTTTTTTTTGGGGGCAATGGTTGATGGGGAGTTGGTGAAGCTTTGAATTTTACCAATTTTGGGTGTTAATTATTCAAGCTACAAAATAGAGTTCTATAGGTCATTTTGCATACATGGCATACTTGCCAAGCATTTTTATTTGAAGGTTTCAAATAAATTTCTTCCAAGAAACTTAGGCCTTGTTTGAGAATATGCTTTTTTTAATAACTTTTTGACTTTTTAGCTAAAATATGATATAAAAAAAAAATTAGTATGTTTGGAATAACTTTTTAATTTTTTACAAAAAGATGTGTAAAAAGTAAAGAGAAAAGAGAATTTTTTATTTTTTGGTATAAATTGTTTGCTTTTTAGTTTTTTTAATGACTTTTTAACTTTTAGGCTAAAAAGGTTACTTCCCAAACGAGGCCTTATTGTTTAGGTAAATGCACTATGAGTTGATACAAAATCCCGTTATTTATTTATTTTTTTTTCATTCTCTTGTTTAGATTTTTTTATTTATTTTAAGATAAGAAAGGAGATCAAATTGTAATAACTTTTTTAGACATGACTATAAGAATCAAGTTCAAGCTGACTCTATTGCTATTTGAAAATTGATAGTGTAAGTATTAATAATACATATAACCATAATAATAATGCGGAATTAAACTTAACAGGATCTTGAATTCAATACAACTTAAGAACAAAACGAACATACCTTTGTCAATCATTGAATTAGAGAAGTTGAGAAAATACCCCTAATAGTTGAACCTTTAATTCTTGGCTCACTTTCTTCTCTCTGTCTCTCACTTCATTAAGATGACTATAAAACTTAGAGTGATGGAATACTATCAAAAGAAGGGGAGTCACCCATCCTTATATAGAAGAGAGAAGAGGGCCAGATAAACTCTATCGGAAGAATTCCTAATCCTTCAAGGTTTCCTTCTTATCTTAGAAGAGTGATTATATTAAAATTCTCATTACTGAACTTTATATATAATATTGGCTTTATCTAATTGTGGAGTCCAAATAAAATAAAACATATAAAAATATGTAGGCTATTAGGCCACACTAGAAAATAAATCCAACATTCTCCCACTTGGCCCATTAAGCCGATTATGATGCAATTATGAGTTTTTCCAAAAATATGCAACTTATAAAAATTTTGACTCATTGGATTCCACACTAAAAACTTTGACACGTGATCACGAATTTTAAAAAATAGCCAATAAGTTCAGATATATTAGGAACTATAATACTGTGATTACTTCAGATCACCAATGTGAGTCATAGCGGTTATATAACATTTATGTCATATTTCCTTCTATGCACTACACCATCGATAACCTTCACCAACCCAGTCCATTATCAGGATATATAATTATTTTCCTGAAAGGCCCCTGTAATTTGTCTTGTTAAGACATTCCCTGTTTATCAATATTCAATTTAATGTGTACACACACTTTTAGAACAGGAAAAACAGAAACAAAATTATTATTGCGCAAATAGTGTCAAATAAAAAATAATCACTCACGATTAACCATACACATCAAGGGTTGCTTAAAAGACCCATTCTGATAACATGCTCTTTTTATGTCTTTGGTGGCAATCCCTTTTTGAATGGATCGGCAATCATAAGAGATGTGCTTAAGTTTTCAATTAACACTTGTTGTTTCTGGATTCTTTCTCTAACGACTAAGTACTTTACTTCTATGTGTTTGGAACCACTAGAGTACTTTCCTTTTTTGAGAAGAAAACTGTTGCGGTATTGTCACAATATATCTTCAGCGGCCTGGCAATTAAGTCAACAATACCAAGTCCTGAGATGAAATTTCGCAACCATAAAGCATGATTTGTAGCCTCAAAGCATATGGAATGTCCTTCATTTGTTTTCTTTTCAAGTCATTCCTTGGACACTGTTTTTCACTTAATTTATCACCCTTCATGATGGGTGCATCACCGGCTGAACAAAACTGCATATTGAATCTCTTCAAAACACGATCAATATATCCTTTTTGTGATAGTCCTAGCAATCCTCGAGATCGATCCCTATAGATCTCTATGCCAAAAACATAGTTTGCCTCACCCATATCGACCATTTTAAAGTTTTTGGAGAGATATTCCTTGGTTTCATACAATAAGCCAAGGTCATTACTAGCTAACAAAATGTCATCCACATATAGCACCAAAATAATGAACTTGCTCCCACTAACCTTCAGATATATGCACTGATCAACTGCATTTTCCTTAAATTCGAAAGAGATAATGGTATGATTAAACCTTAAATACCATTTCTTGGAAGCTTGTTTAAGGCCGTATATGGATTTCTTTAATTTGCAAGCTAAATGTTTTTTACCTTTCTTTGCAAATCCTTCTGGTGGCTCCATATAAATTTCTTCATCTAAATTCCCATTTAGAAAAACAGTTTTCACATCCATTTGATGCAACTCTAAGTCATAATGAGCTACCAATGCTAGAATGATTCTAAGCAAGTCCTTCTTAGATACTGAAGAGAAGGTTTCTGTATAGTCTATGCCTTTTTTTTTGAGTAAAACCCTTGGCAACAAGTCTGGCTTTAAATCGTTCGATATGGCCTTTTGCGTCACGCTTGGTCTTGAAGACCCATTTACACCCGACCTTTTTGCACTTATTAGGCAATTCGACGAGATCCCATACACTATTCTGTTCCATGGATTTTAACTCTTCATTTATAGCATTGACCCATTTAGAAGACTCATCACTATTCATGGCTTGTGAAAATGAGATCCTAAATACTTGACCATTGTCTTGGTAGAGTAATCAGTAATGATCAGGGTTGGTTGTGTGCTGATTATGATTTGTGAAATGCTTTTGCTCTTATGGCTAGAGTGGGTAAAGAATTGGGGGTTTGGTTTCTGCCTTTGCAGAGACCTCAAGGTCTCTATTTTATTTCAATAACTAGAGCAGTGAGAATGTCTATTGCTCTGCCCATGGCTCAGTTTTTACCACCCCATCCACATCCCATTAAGGGTGGTTCTAGACAGGTTGGTTTAAGTTTCCATTTCTTACCAAAGTGAGGTGCTGGGAGGAATGACTTAGGTGCTGACCTATTCATAAAATTAAAACTTTTTATTTCACTAAAAGATAAATTAGTTATAAAATTAAAAAAAAATCAATTCAAATAAAATATCACATCCAATTCCATAGTCATTTCACTTTTTATTTTGGACAACCCCAAATATGTAAGTGTCTCAAGCTAGGTTTCCTACCAGTCCACAACTCAAAAGGAGTTGTTGGGACTGTTTTACTAGGAACCCTATTTAAGATATACATTGCAGTTTTTAAAGCTTCACCCCACATTGAAATAGGTACAATTGAGTAACTTAACATACTCCTAACCGTATCTTTAAGTGTACGATTATGCCTTTCAGCAACTCCATTTTGTTGTGGCGTACCAGGCATTGTATATTGAGCACAAATGCCTTTCTTTTCTAAGAATTTGGCAAATGGGCCAGGATTTTGGCCTGACTCATCATATTTACCATAATATTCACCACCCCTGTCTGATCTCACTATTTTAACCTTTCTATCTAATTGTCTCTCGACTTCAGTGATGTACACCTCAAGGATGTCAACGGCCTGAGACTTTTCATGAATTAGATACACATATCCATAACGTGAGAAGTCATCTATAAATGTGATAAAATATTTTTCACCACTAAGACATGGGATGTTGAGTGGCCCGTAAATATCTGTATGAATTATCTCAAGAAGCTCATTACTTCTTGTGGCACCTTTCTTGGTGTGTTTGGTTTGCTTTCCTTTAATGCAATCCACACATATCTGAAAATCAGTGAAGTCTAGGTTTTCCAAAATCCCATTCTTCACCAATTTTTCAATTCTATTTCTGGAGATATGCCCCAACCGTCTATGCCACAAGATTAAGTATTTTTCATTAATTAGACCACGTTTTAAACCAATATTCGAATGCAGAGTTACTAATGATTGTGCAAACTCATGTTTTAAGGTAATTTTATATAAACCATCACATAAATTACCAAAACCAATCACTTTTGAATTAAACATTAAATTGAGTTTTCCACAATTAAATAAAACTAAATATCCGACACGATCTAATTTGGATAATGAAACTAAATTCCTAGAAATTGAAGGAACATAAAAAGTGCCTTCTAGATCCATCTGATGACCCGTCTCTAAGATCAGTCGATAGGTTTCTACAGCTACGACTTCAGCTTTGAGACGGTTCCCCATATAGACAAATCTTTCACTTTTCTTCGGTTTCCTGGTTAAGAGATATCCCTGCATGTCATTTGTAATGTGGATCGTGGCCCTAGAGTCAATCCACTAAGTATTAGAAGATACTTCAGCAAGATTTGATTCATAACAAACAAAAGAAAATTTCTTATATTTCCTTTCGAACCAAGCCTTTTGCATGCTGCAGTCTTTCTTCACATGTCCCTTCTTGCTACAAAAGTAGCACTTGACAGTGAAACCAGTCTAAGCTTGATTTTCTTCTCCAGGTTCATTTTTTTTCTTTAGTGGATTTTTCTTTGATTTTACAAACTTATCTATCTTTTTCTTTATAGCTCCATGAGTTACAGCCAATACAGTTTGACGTCCTTCCTCCCTCAACCTCACTTCCTCCTGAACACACATATTAGTCAGCTCATTCAAACTCCACTTATCTTTATTGGTGTTACAGTGAATTTTGAATGTACCGAACTGTGATGGAAGTGAGTTGATAATAAACTACACGAGGAAAGTTTCATCAACCTGCATCCCTAAAGTTTTAAGTTTTGCAACTTTGTCATCATATTGAGGATGTGATCCTAAACTCCTCGGTGGCCATTATATTTCATTGTTGTTAATTCAGCCATAATAGTGCCAGCAAGTGGTTTGTCGATCTTCAACAGCCTTTAACAAAATTTTACTTTAAGCATTAGGGTAACGTTACTAAAGAGTCCTTTGGTCAATAACCAAATAAGATCCCATGAAGGTCGGAGGAGTCAATATAGCCTCCCTTCTAAGTCCAACCACCTTAGATAGCAAGCTATCTTTTTGACAGACCTTAAGAGGTATTAACACAAAATCTCATAAGTAACACGAAAAAAGGCATAAACAATATACATATTAAAACTTTGAAAATTATGATGAACTATTGATATCACATAAGTCTTTCCTTTGGGCAAAACTTAGATATATCTATTGTCCACTTGTCAAGAATCACTTATGTAGGTCTAAAGTAATTTATGCAATTTTTTCAACTAGTCATGTTACCTTTGGGTATTCAATTCTAATCTGTCAAATTACATAAGTTACATTATTCTACCCAGTTTATAACTATTGGAAAGTGACTCTCCTTTGGGCTAGTCTCAATCTCCTAATTATAATTGCAATTGAGAATATTATCGACCTTAATGTTACCCTTTTAACAATTCTTTTATGTAGTTCTATATTCATAAGTTTTACAAATTTAGGCCACTTTGGCAGCTACTAAATTAGTAAACCCTATGAATACGGAACTAACCAACAATATTCTTTATTCATTAATTTTGAGTTATTTAATTATCCTTAATTCAATCACAATTTTAATGAAATCACTATTTTATGATTTCTAAAATTTCTTTTATGTGATTGCAATTACCAATATAATAATAATAATAACTCTGGACGAACATGAATATTTATATATCAAAATCATGTAATATAACAATCATGAATATCTCATATAATGGTTAATAAGAATTACACCTAATATGAATTAACCACTTTAATATTTAATATTCAATGTCATAAAATTATATCATGATATCAAATTTAAATCATGAACATATATAAATATCAACAATAAGTGCATATAATCAGATGAGGTAAAATCATAATTCTTTAATAGATCGAATGATTCAACAAATTATAAAATTGCTTTTAATCTTATGCACTTTATCATAACGGCAAGCAATACACGCAATTTAATATCATATTATGATGATTATAAAAATTATTATCACTAAAATTGATAATAAATCAAAACATGCATATGAACAGCATATAGAATTACATAAAAGCCTGCATCCAACAAATCACAAAACAAAGTGAGTGGATTGTGCTCTTATTTAGGTTAGGACCTAATAGATCATGTTGTCTTGTGAGTGAGGGAGTCCATGATGTGCATACTTAGTGGAGTGCACATCGCATGCTGACAGAGTTCAAACCTTATAAACAAAAGTATGTTTTTTGTGAATAATTATAATTATAATATAATAACAATATTCATAAATATATTATTATTCCAAAATGTATTGATTCACAAACTAAAGCTCTGATACCACATGTAAGTATTAATAATACATGTAACCATAATAATAATGCGGAATTAAACTTAACAGGATCTTGAATTCAATACAACTCAAGAACAAAACGAACATACCTTTGTCAGCCATTGAATTAGAGAAGTTAAGAAAATACCCCTAATAGTTGAACCTTTAATTCTTGGCTCACCTTCTTCTCTCTGTCTCTCATTTCATTAGGATGACTATAAAACTTAGAGTGATAGAATACTATCAAAGGAAGGAGAGTCACCCATCCTTATATAGAGGAGAGAAGAGGGCCAGATAAACTCTATCAGAAGAATTCCTAATCCATCAAGGTTTCTTTCTTATCTTAGAAGAGTGATTATATTAAAATTCTAATTACTGAACTTTATATATAATATTGGTTTTATCTAATTGTGGAGTCCAAATAAAATAAAACATGTAAAAATATGTAAGCTATTGGGTCACACTAGAAAATAAATCCAACAGATAGGCCACGCGATTATGTCTAACACATGGACACTCTGTCCACAAACATGTTGGACACATAAAATAGCTATTAATAACAGGCTCACGTCGAAATATATCCCAAGAACAAAATTCATCTAGACTAATGGCCAATTTATATATCCCAAGAACAAAATTCATCTAGACTAATGGCCAATTTTCAGCAGAAACAGAAACAACTTCGTAGCCATCACAAACAAGCCTGGATAGCCCCTTGGGGTATAGCTTAGTTAGCGATGAGACTTTTTTCAATGAAGCAACAAATTTCGAGTTCGAGTTCGAACCTCCTCGGCTTTGCTCGATGTATACTTGTGGGGGCATTGGCGTACATCCAAGGTTTTACATTGCAGTAGTGAGTCCGAAATTTAAAAAAAAAGGGTTTTGGGTCATTTAAAAAAAAAAAGAAGAAAGTAAAAGAACCATCTAATAGTCCCATCCGGTGATTATTCAGTATTCTCGAAATATGAATATGTGGTACTTCATAAGATTTTGATTGGTAGAAAAAGGTAGGAGCTTACGATTTATGTTAGGAATGGAAGAATAACATGAGACTAAGTAATTAGTGACGTAATATTATAAAATTATTAAATAATTTCCCTTAAGCATCCAGCTTTGAAAATAACGATCATTCACAGATGCCACATCAACTGATATTGTACAATCCCCTTCTGAATAATATACCACAGGAGTTGATTACATTTAGAATATGCCATCTGTTATGTTTTAATTAGTTTTTTAACTTTTCTAATTAATTTCTGTAGTACCCGAATGATTACACTTCAGTTTATGACGAGAAGGGCATTTTACAACTTTACAACAAAAAAAAAAAAAGACAACAACAACAACAACAAAAATTGTGAACCAAAATGTAACAAAGCAGACACTTATTTCAGAGACGAGAAGAAATTGAAATGGAGAAGAAATTAGTTGATTTCAATTACCCTGTATCCAAACAACCCATTAGACAGTACAATACTACTAATTCCATGAAAAAAAGAAAAAAGAAAAAAAAAGAAGATCAAAATTAACAACATTCACTCAATTGAACACAGAATTTCCATTTTCTCCATTAATGCAAATCAATTTACATCATACATTCTCAAATTCACATTCACATGGTACCGAAATTGCCTTTGTTTTTTTTTAAAAAAATTAAATTAAATTTTCACTCACTTTCCGGGAACAAAGTTAGTGGCATAAGCCCAGGCATTGTTGTTCACTGGATCAGCAAGGTGGTCAGCAAGGTTCTCCAATGGTCCCTTTCCAGTCACAATGGCTTGAACAAAGAATCCAAACATGGAAAACATGGCAAGTCTACCATTCTTAAAAAAAAAAAAGACAACAACAACAACAACAAAAATTGTGAACCAAAATGTAACAAAGCAGACACTTATTTCAGAGACGAGAAGAAATTGAAATGGAGAAGAAATTAGTTGATTTCAATTACCCTGTATCCAAACAACCCATTAGACAGTACAATACTACTAATTCCATGAAAAAAAGAAAAAAGAAAAAAAAAGAAGATCAAAATTAACAACATTCACTCAATTGAACACAGAATTTCCATTTTCTCCATTAATGCAAATCAATTTACATCATACATTCTCAAATTCACATTCACATGGTACCGAAATTGCCTTTGTTTTTTTTTAAAAAAATTAAATTAAATTTTCACTCACTTTCCGGGAACAAAGTTAGTGGCATAAGCCCAGGCATTGTTGTTCACTGGATCAGCAAGGTGGTCAGCAAGGTTCTCCAATGGTCCCTTTCCAGTCACAATGGCTTGAACAAAGAATCCAAACATGGAAAACATGGCAAGTCTACCATTCTTGATCTCCTTCACCTTGAGCTCAGCAAAGGCCTCTGGGTCATCGGCAAGGCCCAATGGGTCGAAGCTTCCACCCGGGTAGAGTGGGTCGGTCACCTCACCGAGCGGCCCACCTGCAATACGGTAGCCCTCCACGGCGCCCATCAAGATAACTTGGCAAGCCCAAATGGCCAAAATGCTTTGAGCATGGATCAAGCTAGGGTTGCCCAAGTAGTCAAGCCCACCCTCACTGAAGATTTGGGCCCCGGCTTTGAACCATACAGCCTCACCGAACTTGACACCATTGCGGGCCAAAAGCTCGGGGAAGACACACCCAAGAGCGCCGAGCATGGCCCATCTGCAATGGATCACCTCGAGCTCACGGTTCTTGGAAAATGTTTCTGGGTCAGCTGAAAGCCCAGCAGTGTCCCAACCGTAGTCACCAGGGAATTCTCCAGTAAGGTAGGATGGGGGGTCACCAGAGAGTGGGCCCAAATACAAGACTCGGTCTGGGCCGTACCATGGGCTACCGGATCGGACGGGCTTGCCACCAGTCTTCCTCATGCTGATCCTTCCTCTGCCAACGAGGTCTGGGGTGGAAGGAGAGAGTTTTATCGCCTTTCCGGCGAAAGATGGAGAAGAGAGAGCCATTGTAGAGGCAGCCATGGTTGGTTAAGGGTTGGTTGTAGTTGAAAGTTGTAGGAAGAAGTTGGTAGTGGTGGAAGATGGAGGGGGTGTTTGGGGGTATTAATAGATGGTGAGAGCAAGACATCTCCTTAGCTTATGATATCTTTTTCTCTCTTCTCATTGGGTGCCTAAGATTGTGTTTTTGTTTGGGTCTCCATCCACTTGGCACTCTCTAATCCACCAAGATTTTTACTACTTGCACACTGGCCAATGTGTGGCTACCAAGTGTATGTTTGGGATTATATCATCCAATATATAAAGCTTTGGATCATATGGGATATAAGTGAACCATATGTAGATGTCTGTGATATGTCAATTGCCTACCTGAGGTAATAGTTAGGCAGTAATTTTATCCATTTACAGTGTCCAATGGTGCTGCAATGCTAATGGTATGCAAAGGAGCATGGTTTTGAGTCGATTGGAAGAGTCAATGTCTAGATTGTTATGTGTGATTGTTTTTTTATTTATTTTTAATTGGAACTCACACATTAGAGAGTCAATTAAACTTGCTTTAAAACACAAACATCAACGGTACAAGGTTACAAGCCAATCAATAATTAGTAATATTGGTTGATCGATCCCTTATCAGGACTGTAATCTAGAAATAAAAATAAACTCACAATTTGCAATTAATATTTATTCTTTTGTGCTAAATCTATATAAAAATTATGCTTTACATGCATTAACGATGATTAAAAAAAATGGTAAATTATTGTACAACTCACTAAAGCACAATTTGAAAAGAACTCAGTCTTACTTTACTCCAATTATTCTTGATGCTAGAGTTTAACATTATATTTAGATTAAATATTTGAATAGAGATTTAGAAAAAGAAATAAATATAAATATAAATATAAAAATAATTTATATTTTATTCACATTTCATTTATTTTTTCATCCAAATTCATAATCTAAACAATGCCTAGTTTTTGCATTTCCCTCTCATTAGTCACACCAGAAGTCACACCAGAAGGCTAGATATTAATTAATGAGGTTGTAAAAAATTTGTGGCTCACCAAACAGGGCCATTGTAAAACATCAGCTCAAACTTCATTTATATTATAAATTTGAATAAAAATTTAAAAATAATAAAAAAAATAAATGAAATATTAGTAATACGTAAATATATTATATTCACATTTCACTTACAATTTTTTTTTTTTCTTAGATTCCCCATCTAAATTCATAATGCAAATCCTACCTTAATGTAATTTGGAGGATATGTATACCATGGACAGAGAATTTCCCACCACGCATTTAAGTGGGTCCGAATTCCATTGGTTACAAAACATATGGAGTACATTTTCTTGGCAGGATGACTCATGGTGCTGCCATGCGATTATTGTATACTTTTGTTTCTATGAAGATAAACACTATCTGATATTATACAAGTGTCGATTTTCCATTGGTGGATCAGTTAAAAAAAAAACAATTTCCATTGGTGGATGGAAAGAACTTATAACATTTCATGAGATTCTTGATACATTTGTGTGCTTAAAATAATCCATATGGGTGTCATCAAGTGGGGTGGAGATTGCCAAATGGGCATGCAATATTAAGCTCTCAAAATGTCACCAACCAATGAGAATAGAGATAGCAATCTCCAAAAGATAAGCACCCCAGGCCAATCCAAGTTACTTACTATTTATTACAAGCATGCAATGTACAACCCATCAAACTCAAGCCACAAGCACCCATCTTTAGCTCTTATTTGGAACAAAAACTAGTGTTCCTTTCAATAGTTCTCATTTCCCCATCCAATGGCTGCTTCCACAATGGCTCTCTCTTCTCCATCTTTCGCCGGAAAGGCGGTGAAACTCTCTCCTTCCACCCCAGACCTCGTTGGCAGAGGAAGGATCAGCATGAGGAAGTCTTTTGGCAAGCCAGGCCCATCAGGTAGCCCGTGGTACGGCCCAGACCGGGTCCTGTACTTGGGCCCACTCTCCGGTGAGCCCCCATCCTACCTCACTGGAGAATTCCCTGGTGATTATGGCTGGGACACTGCTGGGCTTTCAGCTGATCCAGAAACATTCGCCAAGAACCGTGAGCTTGAGGTGATCCACTGCAGATGGGCCATGCTTGGAGCTCTTGGGTGTGTCTTCCCAGAGCTCTTGGCCCGCAACGGTGTCAAGTTCGGTGAGGCCATCTGGTTCAAGGCTGGAGCCCAAATCTTCAGTGAGGGTGGACTTGACTACTTGGGCAACCCTGGCTTGATCCATGCTCAAAGCATTTTGGCCATTTGGGCTTGCCAAGTTATCTTGATGGGCGCCGTGGAGGGATACCGTATTGCTGGTGGGCCTCTCGGTGAGGTGACTGACCCACTCTACCCGGGTGGAAGCTTCGACCCGTTGGGCCTTGCCGATGACCCAGAGGCCTTTGCTGAGCTAAAGGTGAAGGAGATCAAGAATGGTAGACTAGCCATGTTTTCCATGTTTGGATTCTTTGTTCAAGCCATTGTGACTGGAAAGGGACCATTGGAGAACCTTGCTGACCACCTTGCTGATCCAGTGAACAACAATGCTTGGGCTTATGCCACCAACTTTGTCCCCGGAAAATGAGCAAAATTACTGAGAAGGAAAGAATGCCTAAGCTACTTGTACCTCTGCTAGCAATGTAAAATTGGGTGTGAATTATGCAGAGAAATGTTGTGGTTTGCTTTTATTTTATGTACTACAAATAATTTTTTATTTTTATTTTTATTTGAATTGTGAAACATGTTCTTCTTTAGATTGCATGGGCTACTGGTATCAGTCAGTACTAGGTCAAAATATTTCAACTCAAGCTTAATCATATATACATCAGGGGCTAATTTTTTTTTAATTTAGAAAAAAGAAAAAAAGAACGCCATGATAAAATTAATACAAAATTTAAGGTTGGCAGACAAAAATTTAGAAAAACAATACTAAAAAATTGCACAAGTATTTACATCAATGATGAATAGATTGATATTATTTGTTTTTTTAGAGTCATTCTTCACAGAATGATATGAAGTAGTGATGAACAAGAGCTAGAACAAAACAAACTTGCAAAACTTCTTGAATTGACTCGTTTTTGTCGGTCTACATCTTGCCTCCCTCGAGTTTGCAGACATCTAATTACCGGTGACAAACCGGAGGATTTAAGCAAATAAAAAACATGTTATGCATTAAAACATTTAACTCTAATTCGTTCATTAATAAATCGGTTGAAATGGTTGGGATTGAAATCATTACGTTTTGAATAAATTAACTTGACCATTCCGTTTACTTTATTGAACTCTTTTTTAACTGAAAAGTGGAGCTAGTTGAAGATTTATGGTGATCGAAGACATTGATTTGTATTGGGGCCCACATAAAACTCACACAAATCAATAATTTGGATGAATTTCTAACATTATAATGTGTGACAAAACCACATCATTGTCAACCATGATAGCGAACAATTGCCCATGATGCGTACAAGTCTTTTACGTTGTCGCTAATGACATGATAACTTGCAGTATAAGTTGTTTCCCAACCAACAATTAAATTAATTAATTTCGTTGATTTTGACGTCAAGTAGTATCAAATATAATAATATGATTATCATAACATTATTTTTACATAAAGTTCGAAGTCCAATAGCAAAATATTGTAGCTTCTTTTTTTGGTAAATGAAAAAAAAAATTGAAACTATAAGTTATTAGTGAAATATAAAATTACATGATTTTATATTGTGAATTATGCTGAGAAATATTGTGGTTTGATTTTAATTTATGTACTAATAATTTTTTTTTTTTATTTGTATTTGAATTGGCAAACATGTTCTTCTTTAGATTGCATGAGCTACTCTTATGAGTCAGTACAAGGCCAAAATATTTCAACTCAAGCTCAATCATATATACAATCAGGTGCTAATCTTATTTATAAAAATAAAAATAAAAAGGAACACCATGCTAAAATTAATACAAAATTTAAGGTTGGTAGACAAAAATTTAGAAAAACAATACTAAAAAATTGCACAAGTATTTACATCAATGATGAATAGATTGATATTAAAAAAAAAAAAACTATGGACACAAAATTGAAACACATGATTTTATTCACAAAATAAATAGGGAAAATAACTTGACAGTGGTGGGAAGAAAAAATTATAAACTTTTTTATTAGAATGTAATAATTTTTAATGATTACCATTAAATGGTAATTTTTTCAAATAAATATATGGTCCAGATTTATCTATTGGATTGTGGTCCTACATTTAAATGGAATCATAACCACATGAGAAATTCTAGACAAGTTTATGTGTAAACTTTGTATATTAATCGCATTGTTTTTTTTAAATAACAACTATGACAAATGTTATCAACCCACCTTTAACTATCTTGATTTTATCCTAGAAGAGATTGTGTGGTTAAGATTAAATTTGTGTGGTGTGAGATTTAAGTGTAGAATAAATTTAAATTATAAAAGGATGATTCTGGGTAATTTTTGGATAGTTAAATTTAGGTTTGTAAGAGTATTTCTAAGGAAGAAGGCAAAAGTGCCACATGAGGTATTTTTGCTTGCTCTCTCAATCTTTGCTACATCTCTACTTGTTCCATCTCGTTATTAGTTTTAAAAATATGATTGAGCAAAAATAGTATTTTAAAAAATATTTAATCATATATTTAAAAAAATAAATATTTATAAATATCACGTCAACACTAAGTGCATAAACAACATATTATAAAAAGATTATATATTTTTATTTATGTTTACAGTATTTTTTCTTTGAAAAATTAGTTAAGTTAATTTAATTGATTAGCTAAAATAAAGAGTATGATTAGAATGTACAATACTTTTCTGTATCATTTTAGAAGGCATCTTGTCTATAAACCTTAGAGTTGCTCTGATATTACAGAAGAATTATTATTTGATCCAAAGACTTGCAATCCAAACCAAGCTCGTCTTGCTCCTTCCAATTCAATAAAATTTTAGGAAAACTTACGGAACCATCTGATTAACCAAACTTATTTACTTATAATTTTTTTTTTCACCTATCAAATTATCAATATTCCCAAAAAGCATCAGGGCAAAATAAACATTTTATGACTTATTGATACATTTAAAAAGTGAACAAGAGCGTATTTAAATCTATTACGAAGGACTTGTCCATAATTTATCAAATTAATATTGAATCCAAACCCATATTCTAAACGGGCTGAACCAGCCCAAATGAAACTTGAGCTGGATGTAGGTTGGTGTTTAAGACTAGTAAGGGAAGCCCATATGTGATAAACAAGCCGGTCCCTCTCTCTCCCTCCGTCTAGAAAGACCATCACATTCAACATTATACCGGTTTAGCTAGTGGCGAATAGTTTGAACCGGCCGGCTTATCTTTTCTCTACTTTAAAGCAAAAGAGAATAACGCTTTGTTATCTCTGTCTCCGGCGAACTGTTCACTTTTTAAGATTTGTTAAGTAAAATATAAATATAAAAATAATTAGATATCGATAGTTATATGTTTGAATTATATTTATTTAAAAAATAAAAGATTAAATAAATTTTGTTTCGTGTAAGATTCTCATAGGAGAGAGAGTGTTGTCAATATAAGGTGGAACTGAATCATAAAATTGTTGTTTGCGAGAAGCAAGTACAAAGCTTGGGTAAGTTTTCAAATTATGATGGAACATTTCCACTGAAATTGTTGATTATGAAGTTTGACAATTTTATTTCACTCACTTATATTTTTTTTCTTCACTTTTTTCAAATCTTATCTAAATTCATAATTCAAATACAATAATAAGCGATGCAAAAACTAACTCACTGGGAAAATAACCATGAAAAGTGTCGTTAGTAATATTGAAGTAGGATAGAAATGAGAGGTTTCCTTCCTATGTAGGGTGGTATGGTTCCTCCAAGACCCATTCAAGTTCTTTTTCCTCTTTCTTATTCTTTTTTTGGGGGACTCTTCATGTCCTCGTTTGGGGCAAAGACTGAGAGAAGACTTAGAAGCAGTCATTGGACAGCGATCGTTAACCAACTACAATAAAAATATTATCTTAATTTTCCGTTCGATCAGATGTTGTCACGTCAAATAGTGAATTTTAAAAAAAATAATTACAGATTTATGAAAAAATTTATAATTTTAATTACTAATATTTATAAAATTTGTCATTGATTTGTAATTAATTTTTCAACCTACCAATACTTTGATATTTCCCCGTAAAAGAATGGCATGGATGAAACCAAATAAGCCCACAAATAAGAAATTTAAAAAATGTTTTGTTTGAACTTTTAAAACAATAAAATCATGATAACGCAATTTTAAAAAAAAAATGAAATGGAAGGAAGTGGATCATAATCCTCAAAGATTTTTAGACTATGTTTATATTATAAATTTGAGTAGGATATGAAAAGAAAAAAAAAATGAAAGTAAAATTTAAATAAAATATAACTTACTTTTTATTATTATTATTATTATTTTTTTAAAATTCTTACCTAAATTAATGATTCAAACACAACTACTTTGTAAGTTGACTCATAATTGTCTAATTTCATCTCTATTGAATTTTAATATCAAAATAGTGGATATAGTGATGATTTAATGGGTCAAGCTCACTTTATTATTGTTTTTATTTACTATGGTTTAAACTATTGATTTAGGAAGTTGGAAGTACCCAATTAGATTTAGGACGAAATCTAAAAATCAATTGCTAATCCAATTTGAGCGCCAGCCACATTTCCGTTAGTATAATGAGATTTATTATAATAAAAAAATCACCATAACATTATTATATCTATAATGAATGAATACAAAGCAAACTGTCAGAATGTAACTAAAAATGAGAGCAGTTTCAGAGCTATTTCATCCATCCTTCCATCCATCCGTTCGTTCGTTTCTTTTTCTCTTTTTATTATTTTTTTTGTTCAAGCAATTTCTCATCTTTTCACTTTCAACTACCACCATTTATCAAATGAAAGAATAAAGTATCTTTTTATTTTGTATTACATGTATTTTCTTTTTACAGAATATATATATTTTAAAATTTGTTTAATTTGTAAAGGAACATATAAATTATTACTATTATTTTTTTCTTGAATATAAATTATTATTATTATTATTATTATTATTATTATTATTATTATTAATTTTTCTTGAGAATTTGCAAATTTTTAACATAGAGATATGGCAGCCCATCAAACAATGAAAAAATTATTGATTGGTCCTGGGACGCCAGGTGACCATACCATTTACTAATCACAATTCATTATATCTCTCAGGTTTCTCAATCAACCAACATAAATTTATAAATCTCACTCTCTTTACCAATCACAACATCATGAAAGCACCATGTGACGTGCCCAAGACCAACCAGTAACTTCTCCCAGCAATGCCACTTTGGTGTCGAAAAATAAATAATGATAGAAAACATTGCATCGGTAAACAATGTCACTTTGATAGTTCCATTATGTAAGGAAAAATTTCAATTTTATATCTAATAGTTATAAAATAAAAATATAAATTTATAAGAGTTTTGTTAATATGTGCCCTTAGATCACAAATGGTGAGAAGTCACCTAATACCCAATTCTAATTCTAATACCAAGTTAAAGTATCCAACTCAAAATCAATTAGTAATGAATGTAGAGACCTTTACATTTTATTAACCAAGCTTAGAGCATCCACACCAATCTCTTTAAATTTTTAGTCAAATTATAACTTAGAAAGCTATTTTGCTATTTTAGTTAGTCACATTTTTAGTACCCACTTCATCAAACTCTCTATTCTAATTCAATCCTATTAAAATATTTTTTTTATTTATTAAATTAATGAGTTGGCTTGATCAAGTAGCATTTCCAGGGGCTTGATCAAGTAGTATTTCCTGGAGGAAATAGGGGCTTGCGATTCGGCTCGGGTAGCCATTGTGCTGATCTCCGATTGAGTTGAAAATTTTTGTGGTCATCTACTCAATCAATTGTAAAGTATGAACGGATTGGATCATTAGAAAGTCACCGACACAGTGGCCAACTGGTGCGTTTTGATCAAAATATAAAGACCCAAAATCCAAAATTGGACCATATTCTTCAATCATTCTGCTATGCATTCCAACAGCTATATTTATCAACGGTTATAATTTTTTAAACGGTCATATTCTTCTACTATAAACAATAACATATGTTCTCGAATTCTCACAATCTAAACGAAATATTTTTCTTTCATTCTATCCTCATTAATTTTTTATATGTGGATCTTCATTTTTTAGATATGATTCTTTATGACTCTGACTCCGATGATGAGTTGGAGACAGTTACAATAGCTTCTATGGAAGCCGAGAGTTCATTAAAGTGACGACATGCTGCTCATAAACGACGCGAGTTCGTTTGGTGTAATCCTTTGCAAGGCCATCAAAGGCTTTTTCTCGATTATTTTGCTGATCCACCAGTATTCTCCCAAATTATTTCGGAGAAGGTTTTGAATGAATCATTATCTTTTTCTCCGCATTCAATTTGAAGTAGAAGCTTATGAACCATATTTTGTTTAGAAAAGAAATGGTGTTGGAGTGCTCGGTTTGTCTTCTCTTCAAAAAATAACTGCGGCTCTTAGAATGCTTGCTTATGGAGTAGCAGCTGATTTTATGGATGAATACTTGAGGATTGGAGAAAGTACTGCAATGAAAAGCCTAAAGAAATTTGTGAAAGCAGTGGTTGCAATTTTTTCTGATGAGTACTTGAGGTCACTGAACAACAACGACATTGCTAGACTCCTAATAGTTAGACCTAATTTTTATTAAATTCTATTGAAAATAAGTCTTGATAAAATTGCCGTTAAAAATAAGTTTTTTGTAACAATTTTTTATATATGTCGCTAAAAATTGACAATTAGTGGCTTTTTTGTCATTATTTTTATGAATTATAGCTAAAATTTATAATTAGTGACTTTTTTTATGACAAATTTTTTTCATAGGACCTATTAGATAATAAGTCTACTTATTAGGATCTACACGTAAGTACCCCATAATATAATTGCACTAGGCTCCCTTTGAGTTTTAATTTACATAATAATTAACCTCTTTTTCATTTATAGATCGTTAGTTATATGGTTGGAAAAATAATATTAGGTCACTGAACAACAACGACATTGCTAGACTCCTAATAGTTAGACCTAATTTTTATTAAATTCTATTGAAAATAAGTCTTGATAAAATTATCGTTAAAAATAAGTTTTTTGTAACAATTTTTTATATATGTCGCTAAAAATTGACAATTAATGGCTTTTTTGTCATTATTTTTATGAATTATAGCTAAAATTTATAATTAGTGACTTTTTTTATGACAAATTTTTTTCATAGGACCTATTAGATAATAAGTCTACTTATTAGGATCTACACGTAAGTACCCCATAATATAATTGCACTAGGCTCCCTTTGAGTTTTAATTTACATAATAATTAACCTCTTTTTCATTTCTAGATTGTTAGTTATATGGTTGGAAAAATAATATTATCATTTGTTTTATACTGAAATATATATTTTATCATTTGGAAAAATAATATTATCATTTGTTTTATACTGAAATATATATTTTATCATAATTATCATTATGTCTTCACACATCTACATTAGTTTCAGACTGTTTAACTTTACTAAAAGGAAAATCGATGTAATTATACCAAAATTATATAATTTGTATTTTCTCTGAATATTAGAGGAAGTTATAGTTGGCTTTGTTTATCCTTATTTTTAATCTTGCAGCCTTTAAAACTTTTTATCATATTTATATGTTACAACATTACATGTTCCTCCCATAATATTTATCTTGAATCGTTGATTAGAAATCAAAAGGTTTTTCATCAGCATGCTCTTCTAAATTAGACATTTATGTGGAAAATACTAACGCGTATTGCTATAACATTGTTTACAATTGAAATTAGAATAAAAGTATTTTAGAAATATGTGAAAAAATTAAAAACAAATTTTAAACTGGTAGTATTTCAGACTCTTCCTTTTTCTTTTTCTTTTTCTTTTTCTTTTTTTTTTTCTTTTTTTTTGGGGTCTTTTTCATACTCTTCCATTTTCTCTTCCTCTCTCTTTTACTTTTTCCTTCTTTTTTTTTTTTTGTTTTTTTGTTGTTGGTCTTTTTCTCTTACCCTATAAGCACCTGTTAGTAGACCAATAATATATTTAGAGATGTGAATAGATATATGGTAAAAATTAGGGGCATTTACATACAAATCCTAATTTATGAACTTATATCTCATTAAGTCTTAACTAATTTTTTTAAAATCTTCAAGTCCCATTAAATTTTTAATAGCCAGAATTATCTTTTAAATAATGATTGTTCATCATTTATGATTATCTATAAAGGAACATGATGATTTAACATATATTTTAATTTTCAAAACTTTAAAATATCAACTTTCAAATTGTAAAAACTAAAAAAAATTATGTGCAAAAAAAAAAAAAATTGAAAAAACTGAATTTTTTTGTGCAAAACTAAAAATTTTGTGTCCATAAATGAGCATGATGATAGAACATTGATGTACAAAACTGAAAAAAATAAAAAATAAAAAACTTTAAAAATAAAAAACTGATAATGTTCTCAGTTTAAAAATTGAAAAAAACTGATAATATTCTCGGTTTTATTAGATAGTTGAATCAAACAAATAAATAGAAGGGTAAAAACGTTTAATCTCATGCTCTATTTTTTTTCATAAGTTAGTGAAATAATTATCTGAAACATCACTATGCAAAATTGATAATATTTTTAGTCTTAAAAATTAAAAAAAAAAAACTGATAACATTATTAATTTTATTAAATAAGACTTATTAATTTAAAAAATGTTAGATAAAATCTGAATTATCATAACTTTTATAAATATGACTTTTAGATAATTAACGCCAAAGAGTACAAAGAGGCATGAGAATAAAATGATAAATTACATCTTAATAGTTGAATTTAATTCTATGTTAAGTATCTGAGTTATCATAACTTCTATAAATATGACTTTTAGATAATTAACACTACAGAGTACAAAGAGGCGTGAGAATAAAATTAATTACACAACTTGTTCTTGTCACTTGAATCTTGCAGTCTAAATGCCTTACGTGGTAGTGTAAGTATCTTGTAACTGGATATTAAAGGAATGAGAGATAAAAGAAACGATAAATTACATCTTAATAGTTGAATTTAATTCTTATCAAACTTTATGAAAAATAAGTTTTAATAAAATTGTCATTACAAATAATTTTTTGTGACGATTTTTTACATGTCGCTAAAAATTGACAATTAGTGACTTTTTTTGTCAGAGTTTTTATAAATTGTCACTAAAACTTACAATACCTTTTTATGACGAATTTTTCAAACTGTCACTAAAAATTAAAAATTAACAATTAGTGATGATTGTGACAATTTTTTTGTGACGATTAAAAATTAGTGATTTTTTTGTGATGATTAATCACTCAAAATTAAAAATTAATCACTTTTTTTGTGACGATTTTTTAAACTGCCACTAAAATTTATAATTAGTAATTTTTTTGTGTAAAAATTTTCAAACTATCGTTTAAAATTAACAATTAGTGACATTTTTTAATAGTGTTTGATGAAAAAAGTCATTAATTATCATAGGACTTATTGGATAATAAATCCACCTATTAAGACCTATACGTAAGTCCTCGTGAAATAAAAAGTATACCTACGAGGTAAATAACAAATTATGTGGATGCAACTATTCTAGTGGTAGATATAACTCTACCCAAAGGAAGTAAAAAAAAATAATTGTACGAGCTAAAATATTTTTGGTTGGTGTTAGTTACTAGTGTGGAATGCCTTAATTAATATTTTTTTTTATCAAAGATTTTTTAATGGCTTTTGTTTTTACATTCTAACAGGTTTAATACCAGAGGAGATTGGTGAACTTCGAAATATGAGGAGGTTATCACTTTCTGTTAATAACTTTATGGGTCCCATTCCAACATCAATCTTTAATATCTCATCATTGGAGATATTGTCACTTGCAGCAAATCAATTGTTAGGCAATCTTCCTTCAAATACAGGACTTTGGCTACCCAATCTCAATACCCTCTATCTTGGAGGAAATAAACTCGGTGGAGTTATTCCTGATTCAATCTCAAATGCTTCTAAACTCATTACTTTAGACCTCAGTGAAAATGCATTTATGGGTTTGATTCCAAAAGCTCTAGGTAATTTACAACTAGGAAAATTTACCCATAAGTCCTAGTTTTTGAAACGTTGAACCATGTAGTTCTAAAAGTTTTCTTATGCTCCATTTAGTCCCATTTTTACATCAACATGATGTGAATGATGTAAATGATCTGATGTTTCATTCTATAATTTTAAAATTTATTGAAATCTGATGAACATTAAATGTTTTTCATCCTATATTTTCAAACATTATTGAAATTTGATGAACATTAGATGTTTGAAATCCAATGTTTGTAACATGACTCTGATGTTATTAACATTGTATCTGATGTTATTAACATTGTAATGGGACCTTTCAGTCTATAAGAAAACTTTTAGGACTAAACAGTGCATAAGTTATTAATTTGGGATTTATTGGTGCATCCCCCTTACAACTACTCGAATTCCTCAACCTGGCAAAAAACAATTTGAGATCATCTCCCGAATTGAGCTTTGTCACTTCCTTTGCAAATTGCAAACAATTAAAAGAACTTGGGATAAGTTTCAATCCTCTAAATGGCATTCTTCCAACAACCATTGGAAATCTCTCAGCTTCCCTCGAGAACATTTATGTAGATTCTTGTGGAATCAAAGGCAACATTCCTAGTGAAATTGGTAATTTAAGTAATTTGGCATTCTTGCGTCTACAGCAAAATAATTTGATCGGATCCATTCCCTCAACAGTCAAAGTGTTGGGAAAGCTTCAAATATTGTATCTTTCCAACAACAGACTGCAAGGGTCTATGCCAGACGATTTATGTAATTTCAAGAACATGGGTGATCTACGATTGAACCGTAATGAACTTTCCGGATTGATTCCTGAATGTTTGGGGAATATTACATCTCTAAGATATCTCTACCTCGACTCCAACAAATTATCTTCTAGCATACCTACAAGCTTGAGGAATCTCAAAGATATCTTGGAAATTAATATGTCCACAAATTCTTTAAATGGCAATCTGCCACTGGAGCTTGGGAATTTGAAGGTTGCAATACTTATAGATTTGTCAATGAATCAATTCATAGGCGAAATCCCAAGCATAATTACAGGTTTGCAAAACTTGGTTAATCTTTCATTGGCGTACAACAGGTTACAAGGGCCTATACCTGACTCATTTGGCAACATGGTGAGCTTGAAATTCTTAGATTTATCCCATAATAACCTCTCTGGTGTGATCCCCAAGTCGTTAGAGACACTGTCTCATCTTTCATATCTCAACGTTTCTTTCAACAAGTTAAGAGGACAAATTCCAATTGGGGGACCTTTTGCAAACTTCACAATTCAATCTTTCATGTCGAATGAAGCATTATGTGGTGCACCAAAGTTTCAAGTCCCACCATGTCATATTGGTTCCCCTAATCATTTGAGGAAAAAAAGAGTGGCTCTAGTTTTATATATTTTGTTGCCTATTGCATTCATACTACTTGCCACAACCTTTGTATTCTTGTTGACAAGATCCCGAAAAAGAAACAAAACTCCAGCCAATTATGATCTCTTACCAACAACAACACCTCCAAGAATCACATACCAACAACTTTTCCAAGCAACTAACGGGTTTAGTAAGAGCAACTTGCTTGGTATGGGAAGCTTTGGTTCAGTATACAAAGCTATCCTTGAAGATGCCACAATTTTGGCCATAAAGGTATTCAACTTGGAAGTAGAAGCTGCATTCAAGAGTTTCGACATAGAATGCGAGATAATGCGAAGCATTCGTCATCGCAATCTTGTTAAGGTCATTAGCAACTGCTCCAACCTTGATTTCAAAGCTTTGGAATTCGAATATATGCCTAATGGGAGTCTTGAAAAATGGTTGTATTCTTACAACTATTTCTTAGATATGTTACAGAGGTTAGACATAATGATAGATGTGGCATGTGCTTTGGAGTATCTTCACCATGCCTATTCAACGTCGTTGGTTCACTGTGATTTGAAACCCAGGAATATCCTATTGGACAAAGATATGGTTGCACATGTCAGTGATTTTGGCATTGCAAAATTATTAGATCTGGGGGAGAGTGTCATACATACAAAGACTATAGCGACATTTGGATATATTGCACCAGGTGACTTCCAACTTTTAATTTATATTCACTTTTTTTTTTTTGTGAGTGTGTGTGTGTGTGTGTTTTCTATATATGTTTCCAGTTTATATATATAATCATGTACTTCTCATATAATACCACAAAATTTCAAACTAATTTCTATCAAGTTTTTTTTATAAAAAAAGATCTCTATTAAGTAATATAAAAAATACAATAAGCCTTGCAATTTTGATATAAATATATTGACCTCCCCTTTAATAATAGAAAAATTACTTTTTGCCCTTACAAATTATATTTTTTTTTTATTTCTCAAATTTAACATTAATATAATCAGCGAAGTGGCAATCTTGAAAGTATTAACATCACAAACTTCTCTGCAAAGCTCGATTCGGGTTGGATTCGCATCTAATAAACTCATAGCCTCACTGAAAATAAATTGCGAATAAAATTACAACTCAAAGGAGTTTTGTCAAACGGGATTGCCAAAAATAAAAACCTAACAATAAACTTTGTGGCTTGACTAGTTAAAAATGAGTAATACTCATGGATTAAAATGAATTTGCAATACAAGCATTAGCATCAAGTTCTACATTTTTCTACAATCAAAGTACTCAACAACCCAAAGCAGAAAGTGGAGGATATATAAAATTAAAGAACCACAAATTTAAAGATTGAGTTCAGAACAGAAAGTTATAGGTATGACATATCCTTCTTCAATTACCTAATATCAATGGCCATAACCACATGATTGCTTCTCTTTGGTGAAAGAATGTAATTTGGAGAATGGACCTATTAAGAAATGGAAATACAACATTACTCTTCAAGTTGTTGTACATACTCAACATACATATGTAAACCTATAGAAAATAAGGAAGCTACAAAGTTCCAACCTGACTGCAAATTTCACAGGTGATATCGCCTTTCTTGTTGCACCATCTTTCAATGCACTTCCTATGAGCAAACTACATGGTAGAGACAAAAATCTTAGAAGACATTCATAAATCTCAAACCTAACAACTAACTCTAGAATGCCCATATATCTTTTGATAATGCAGATTAGTAAACTATGTGACCCATCCAAATGTTGAAATAAAAAATGCAAGATGAAAGCTCACCAACCAATTACAAGAATATATTAATACACACGCACACACATATATCGAAACTTGTAAACAAGGAAAATACTAAGAGAAGCACCCTTGATAACTATATAATTAACATGAATTGAAAGAAATATCTCAAATGACAGCATAGAAGGTGCAAAGAACATACACTGGTAATGAAGAAAATCCAAAATACAGAAGTCTAGCACATTGATGGAAAATAAAATATGAAATTTAAATCGAAAAAAGTAAATATATTAGTCATTGTATACATTACACAACACGGAATTGACAATTAGAAAAGTAACTCCCACACTATTAGCAGAAGTACAAAACAGAGAGAGATAGAGAGAGACACACACACATACAGAGAGAGAGAGAGAGGGACAAAGAGAAAGAAGACTTGAATGTAAGCTAGAGACGAGACAATGGTGATGTGCGACTGTGATTTGCGGTGGTGGCGATGTACGACTTGCACAGCGGTGAGCGATAGTAAGATGAGCGGATCGCGGTGAGAAGTACAAAACAGAGAGAGATAGAGAGAGACACACACACATACAGAGAAAGAGAGAGAGGGACAAAGAGAAAGAAGACTTGAATGTAAGCTAGAGACGAGACAATGGTGATGTGCGACTGTGATTTGCGGTGGTGGCGATGTACGACTTTGCACAGCGGTGAGCGATAGTGAGATGAGCGGATCGCGGTGAGGGGAGGTGAGGTTTGGTGGTGTTTGATTTTGTGTGTGTGTGTGTGTGTGTGTGTGTGTGTGTGAGAGAGAGAGAGAAAGAGAGAGAGAGAAAGAACAAATGGGAACCTATTTGTATTCCAAACAGATTGATACAAAAAATAATAATAATAAATAAAAGTAATGGAGCTAATCTGAAAATTTTCCCTAGAAAATTTAATACACCATTTGCTGACTAAACTATTTTGGTCACTGAAAAGAAAAACATTTTTCAAATATATGATTATTGATCATTTTACACAATTCGCGACTAAACATTTTGGTCGCCAATTAATTTTATAAATCCCTCCAAAATTTGAAAAGTCTCCCTCCAAATATTTTAGTTCTTTGGCGACTAAAATAATTTTTAGTCGCTGAAAATATATTTTTGTTGACCAAACTTTTGGTCGCCAAAGATAAAAAGTAAATTTTTGTTTTTCATTTGGCGACTAAATAATTTTAGTAGCCAAAACTAACAATACAACAACTAAAATAATTTTTAGTTGCTGAAAATATATTTTTGGCGACCAAACGTTTGGTCGCCAAAGATAAAAAGTAAAATTTTGTTTTCCATTCGGCGATTACATAATTTTAGTAGCCAAAACTAATTATAAAGCGACTAAAACATTTTTTTAGTCGCCAATAATCAATATACCCCAACTAAAAAAAATTAGTAGTTAAATATTATACTTTTGCCGACTAATATAATTTTTGTTTTCCAATTCCATAACTTTTGACGACTAAATTTTTTTTAGTTGCCAAAACTGCAATTTGTTGTAGTGTTATAAGTATTGTTGGATTTAATCTCACATCGCCAATCTAAGATACCTAAGAGCAACTTTATCAAACTTGGTAGACAGCTTCTCAAGCTAAACAAGCCAGATGAACTCCAAAAAACCAAGCGCATCAATCTCGCTACAAGCGCGCCAAAATTTGAGGATGCTACAGTAGCTCGTTACAACAAATGAGCCACTATTCATCGTTATTCATTTTTTTATTATTTTTTTCCCGCCAAACTCTACCCTCTTCCTCTTCCGCGCCAAAACTACATAACGGCAACCACTCCACAGCATTTGCTTTCACCATATTTGAAACTCAGGCTCTCTCTCTCTCTCTCTTTGTGTTGTACTCTAGATTTGGATTAGATTGGATGAATTGGGGTCTGTAATTTTATTTGAGAACCAGCAATGGCTCTTTGATTGAATTAAGTTGTTTGAACATCTTTGAAAATTTGTATGCACAAAATTCTTGTATCACAACTATTTGATAAATTGCCTCAATGAAAGTGAATGCATATGTTGATATTTTAAAGCTTAGATTACGTGTATATTTTTAAAATCTTCAAAATTGGGTAAAGAAAATTTCTATCATACTGAGAAAGAACATATATAGTTTGTGATCTTTATGGTTTTTCTTGATACACATTGTATACAACTATGATATAATTTTAAGATTTTTGTTGAGTAATTAGTGCATAAAATTAATTTGCCCCATTGTCTGACACTGTTTAGTTAAAAGTGATCAAGTGTGAAATGTATTGTTGATTGTTCATGTCATTGAATATAACTCTCAGAGAGAGGATAGATAAAGGTGAATTACTATGAGAACAAGTAGAAAAAACAAAAGGGAAGTGTGTTCAAGTTAGACAACAAATTGAGCCAAAACCAAATGTTTAGCCCTTTATGTTTGTTACCTTCTGTATATCTAATTAAGGCATTGAAACTTTTTTGTTGTCTGAAATCTCAAGCATATAAAGCTAATGTTCTTGATGTGTATAGACAAATGAAAGTAAAGAGAAAGATAAAATCCTCTCGTGTCAAAGGAACAAGAAATGGTCATCCCCAGCTTTTTTTTAGTTATAATTAAGTCATCCTACCTCTGCCTATTGTTTAATCTTCAACTTCACTTTTTGGTCTCTATTTTGTTTAAGTGGAATAGAAAGGAAGTAGTGCTTTAAGATTTTAATCTTTCTCAACATACCATTTTAGAGTATAACATTATGGATAAGGTTTAGAAGGTGTGAAGTGTGGTGAACGTAGTTTTCTAATGGATGCTTTGCTGCTATGGTGTGGTGTATCACTGATTTCCTACACAATCTAGTGGGCATTTTCTGGCTTGCTGGGAGTTGGTTGTGTTGGTGCCTTACCAACACTTTTTTTCCAACCTTGTTTGCAGTTTTTGCTAGCATTCGATTGGGTAGTTACTTCTATATTAACTCTGTTAGGATGTTAGCTTAGCTACCTATGATGCTTCCTTATATTAAGCTTTTGTTATGTAATTTTGTTTACATAATAAAATCTTCCTTTTGCCTTTCAAAAAAGAAAAAAATTCAAATTTTAGTAAACAATTATCAAAACACTCCTCCAAGTTCAACTATTTACTCAAACTTATATCAACTTGAGTTTTACTCAAAGGGAGACTCAAATTCTTCACTCAAATTCATATCAAATTTAATTTTTGTAACAAAAAAAACTGTTAACTTCTCTTATTTAATCCAATGAAAACTTAACACATGTGCTCTTTTCCCCAAATTTGAGTTAAGGGTTGGAGGTGGTCTTAGTAAGCTTTATTGAATTGATTTTATTTTATACAAAACTGCTAACTTACTGTCTTGTTGGGATGGATTCAATCTGAAATTTTTCACTCTATCTTGAACGATGGATTCATTCTGATTTGATTCACTTTATCTTGTAGGATGGATTCAAGTGGAGACCCCTTCCTTACCAATCTTTTACAAGAGGGCTCCAACTTTGACAATCAATTTATGAAGTCTCAATATCTGAACCAAGTTAGTTAAGGTGCTGGCCAAGAATCTTAGATTTCAACCAAAAAAGAATCTGCTACGAAAAAGTCACGCAGTGGCAACTTTTCTAAAGAAGAAGACAATTTGCTTATATTAGCTTGGCTTAATACTAGCTTGGATGCAGTGCATGGAAATAAGCAAAAAAGTAAGACATTCTGGAGGAGAGTTGGGGAGTACTTCCATGAGTACGAAACATTTATTAGTGAATGTACTGATAATTCTTTGATGAACCGGTGGTCAATCATTCAACTTGGAACCAATAAGTTTTGTGGGCACTTTGCTCAAATTGAATCAATGCGTGAAAGCGGCGTGAATGAGCAAGACAATGTATCAATTACATAGATATTTAAACATTTACCATTCAATATATTTTAAAATTTTGATATATATATTGTTAGACAATCTTCATTGTATTTGGAAAAATAAATTCTGTTGTGTACTTAACAACAAACAGAATACAAAAGAAATAAAGGAAATGAGAGAATTTGTTTGATTACAAAAATCAAACCAATAAAAATAAATAAAACAGATTTTTATTTTGTTACAAAAACAAATTCAAAATCTGATTTAAATAAACAAATAAAAACCAGAAAATAAATATAAACAACTTACTTGATTAATTTCTTGAATAATATTCTGAGCAAGTTCAGTGTTCGACACTGTCCTTAAGACAGATTCGTCATCTCCACGG